CGCGTGCCACTCTTGTTGCTGACTATCCACACTGTGTTTCTTGAAAGATATAGTGTGATATTGGTAATTTTCACCACATTTGGGCGTCATTAAAGTAGCAGACAACTTTTCCACTCAGGTTTTTATCAACACCTCTTACACGTATACAAATACGTCACCACATTTATCCTGAACGGAAGCGCATCGAGCGTGAGGACGCTCGCAATTACGCGACGATGTAAGACAGTTCATACATCGTGACGGAGATTGAATCTTGCGCGCCACATACCGCGCTACATCAACAATTAACTGCATCCGCTCACATACGCCAATAGTATTGACGCTTAAGTCAATGGCATTGATATGACTACGGTTGTAGATGCTGTGAATGGAATATTTTTTTAGGTTTTTGATGGCGGTTCAAGTGTTTATGAGGCGAGTGATATGTTCCTTTGTCAACGTTGCTATTCGTGCACCCGTTGTTCACTAGTATTTATTTTACACGGCTCAGTTCAGCGTGTAAAAGCTCATAGTTTCAACACGTACGCAGTGCCCTACGAACAAGGCCTTTAACAACGCTCTTAAACAACGCTCTTTAACAACGCTCTTGATTCAGTTGGTTCAACCCGTTTAAGGAAGAGCAAGTCCTACGCCGACGATAACGGAAACTTAGAAGTCTTGAGTGCACTCCTTTTTATTTGGTGGAAGATACTGTCTCAGCCATGTGGGGTCCCCTGTTGGCATGATGGGACCTCCTGTCAGTGTGATGGGCCTCCTGCCGGCATAATGGAGCTTCTTGATGGCCTCCTAAAGCTTTAAGCGGGAATATTCTTTTCGCCCAGATGGCGCCGGCCGCGAAATGGTATCACAGGCCGGTTACCGGTAAAGCTGCATCGCGACATCTGGCACAAAGACCGCTTGATTGGCATGATAGGATCACAACCTGCATCAGCAAATCTTCAACTGGGCATACAATTGACATCAGAGACGACACCCGTTTGGTACATGGAATCAAATTGGTGGACAAATTTCATAGGAATCCGTACACTGAACTAGCGGGCAGAAGAGGACATAGAGCTGTTTTGTTTTAATACTCCCTCAGCAGCTTACAGCCCGGGTAAATTTTTTGAACTACTAACGCTGTGATGGGTGTAGAAGGATATATGGTGAATGAAGGATATATAAGGATATATATGTATGATGTATGTAGAAGGATACATTCAAAAACAAAATTTAAGCTAAAGACATGGCGTGTATGCACAACTTTCTGCTGAAAACCTAAGCCAGTAATCACTACTGCATGATACCAGCCATTTGCTATCACTTCCTCTAACTTTCACGGCCAAGTTGATGTGATGCAATCACGTTATTAGGAGGATAAATGTTCGGTTACCTTGCTTGAGGAATATAGGTTAATAGCCCATATCTGTCTTTATTTAAAGGGAATGTTCCACCTTGATATGGGGCTTTGAACTGAAATAGTCATCGTGGGAACCTTTTGATGCAGTTCACGGCCATGTCGTTTTTAAAATCCAAAGCCCTCTGGTTCCGGATTTACTCGCCCGTAAAAGTGGCAAAAGCTATATTGAGGGACTATTTTAAAGCCACCTCCGCAATGATGAGGTCAAAGAAACGTCATACGATCGCTGTGATCTTACAGGGTGTTTTCTGCTTATGGTCAAAAACAGCATGGCCGCTGATCCATTCGCAAAAGCGATGATGCAGCGCACATGGTACAATCAGCGGATTAGCTAGTTTATGGGTTAGCTAGGCCTTATAAATTTAGGGAACATCACAGTAATTTTATATATATATATATATATATATATATGTATCTATATATATATATATATATTGTTATATTGTTATATATATATATATATATATATATATATATATTGTTAAGTCTTTGACACACATTCCACGACAAATTTAAATTTTGAACAACAAATTGTGTCCCTCAAGTACAACCTCTTTACCTGCATTTCCATGAACCCCCCCGTTGGGACTTGGTTTAGAAGGGAGCTCACGGTGAAATGCGATGTTATGACCGGAAACCTGTGCAGAACTTGTGAAAAAACCTGCAATTTGGTAGTCTCGCGAGCTGTGCAAGTATGAAATCATACTTATTTTACAAAACAGTGTGAATCAGGGGCTTGAAATGGGTGTGATCACTAGTGGTGCGTGCCAGTGGTATGTATTGATTTTGATGTGATGGGGTGTGTGCGTGCGAGGTTTGTACTTCTGAGAGAGGAGCATTGTTTTGGTATTTTTTAAGTCTCCTGACCCCCAATAAAATGCAATATGTGAACACTTGCCTCTATCTTTTTGTTCGTGTTTGAACAAGACAAGGTGGTGATGCTTGCAAACTGAAAGAAACACTAGCACCTATGTTGCAGAGGTATGCAAAGACATTTTGCTACTTCATTATGACCTTGCCAATATTTTGCACCTATTGAAGCATTACAACATGTAATTAATCCATTGCATGCCATTATATTTGCAATTCATTTTGGCAGTAGGGGTTGGCCTGCACAGCTCATTAATACACATGCTTGGTATAAGTTCACATGATACAGCTATGCAGAATTGTCTTTCCCTTAAGAATTCTGAATTTTATATGCAGGCAAGCATTGCTTGTGAGTGATCAATGTCATAGTCACTGCAACTTGTGAGATGCTGGGTGCTGATAAAGGTGGAGAAGTATTGCTTTCGGTCTCGTGGATAGCACTTAATGACATCTTTATCATGAGCCTTGTGTGCATTAACAGCTTTACTACTTCCTCGCATTTCGCCGATCTAACCATAACTACATGCGCTTGCCATGTCTCCAGAATTTTGCAAGGTCAGCAGGTTTGCAGTGTCATTTCACATGTAATATTTTCCTGTTATATATGTATTATTACTTGCGTGAACATCATTTCTGAGTGAGGCAGCCTGATGGCTGCAGCATGTTGCATGGCTGTAGAAGCAGAAGACGTATTTGCATCTTTGTCACTCGTGTTTTGTGGATTTCCAAAGACGGCTGAGCAAGTGATGTCACTTATGTGTTGTGTGCCTTGCTGAAAGTGATTTGTTTATTGTATCACGTGTTGTGGCCAGCTCATATTTCAGATGCAGAGTTAATGCAAGAATGCATGCTTGACCCATCTTTTCACTATGGAATTTATTATGAAAACAGCAGGGATTGCAATACAAAAACCATATCATAGTTCATTACGCCATGCCCCAGTACAGCACTGAGGTAGTGTCTCAATGACACTGTTGACCCGTGTCATTACGCAATGTATCACATTGGTTGACTACTCTATGTCAAGTCTATGAGATAACAGCTTATTATTTCTGAATTACTGATAAGAACTGATTTGACAACGCCAAATGACAATCAACAGTGAGAATGCTCTTGCACCACATCGGTTATATCAGGGTTCACTAGGAATTGCATAAATAATCCTAAGCAAAAGAAAAACATTTTTGGTAACTCAACCCTACCATCTTTACCGTAGAAATAACAATGTTTTGGCAATCAATTCGTAGCAATGTTACAGATTTATTCCTTTTTTGCATGCAGCTGCATTTCCAGCTATGAATAATAAAGGAAGTAACTACTGTGCAGATCGCATGATATCAATGTCAGGACTACAGCACTGCAGGCAAGGATAAGTTAGGCAACACAGTATTCACATCCTCAACAGCCCTTGGCAGGTTTCGGCACGAGATTCATCACAGCCTTCACAGCATATTGTGCATTTGTATTAATAATCTGCCATAAAAGCTGGCGATCGTTACGTCGCGTATGTCAACCAGCCCACCAAAACTTCTCTTACGACCGGTACCAAGACAAAACATCCACAAACAAGCCATTCACTAATCCGCCGCTCAACACAGCACCCGTGACGGGAATGGCCTGTTGGCGTCAGCTTTCGTGCGTTTCGAGGTATTCTTTAGGTCTGGTTGCTAGATGCTGTCAGGTATTGCTGTCGTCACAAAATCACTCCATGAGGCCATCAAACAATGATGTAATGCGGCGCATTTTTATAAACCTTAAAATTTTGCTACCTAGGGTGTTTTTTAAAGCTTGAAAGCCTATCAATAATTACAAGTAAGCTTTTCCCGTCATATCTGATGCTCATCTCAATATCTCCAGATGTTGAACATTCTCTTTAACGGTCGCTCCGGCGCACTGCCAGAGAGAAACAGAAAACTGGGGTATGTGCTTGCGAAATATGAGCCTTCCGAATTTAAAGAAACCACGTCTCAAAACGCTATTTTGCTAGCTTAAAGAAAGTATCCCACATTTCCAGATATCAAAGGTATTGAGGCAGGCATGAGGTATTGTAGACGAAGCTCACTTATAACTATAAGTACCCTTTAAAGTGCAAAGGGCTGCTCTCAATAACCGAATTTCATAGTCTAGGCAATGAACTCTTCGATACAACACTATTTGAGTACGGCATGGAACGCTTTTCTGACGTTAAAGTCACCGCCAGACTGGGTGTTTGAAATTTTTCTTTGTAGCGGACGGAGCGCGTAAATGTGTATTACTGTGGTTATGTGCGTGCGTCTTGTCCATTTTTCATTGTAGTTTTGTACGTTTTTCCTTGGTGCCTAATTTTTTACTACCATCTGCATTTTTGATTGCTGCACTATTATCAATGCATTTGATTCTCTCGGCATGATGTCTGCCATAACTAGAAGTTGCCTAAATACCATTGTTTTAGTGCCGAAAAATTATGTTCGTTATTTTGCTGGTGATAGCTTTTGAAGGCATGTCACACGGTATTTAGCGTGGAATTTTGCATGCGCGTCCATCGCGCGTGAAAAATAAATAAACGTCCATATACGAGCGTTCCACATCTTTAGACTAAGCCTTTCACTGTTTCTATTTGTCATCGAACTGTATGTGGCCTTTCGGCAAACCCCCTTATGCCTCTAGATTTACCTGTGGCCTAACAATATATGCACGACTCTGCTGGCTCAGTTTCGTAGTTAAGCATGCCCGCCTGACGACGATGTTGCAGTGGGTCTGTTCGACCCGGGAGACGAACGCCAGGAGATAACCTTCCTGCACGCCGTGGATCGGGTCAACCGGGAGCCGGGTCTTCTGCCGGGCGTCCACCTGCAGGGGCTGGTGGAGAGGGTGCCCCTCCACAACAGCTTCCAGGCCACGCGACGAGGTCAGTGTCTTCAAACAGTGCAGTCGCACCCGGCTTGACTGCGATCTTTGCACTGCCCGTGAAAGATCGTCCGCAGAGTAATGTGAAATCCTCTCTTCACCGACGCGTGACGTTCACGCTACACGCAGGGCGAGTGATGTGATGGTCATCATTCCGCAAGGCTTCATCGGGACACAAGTGCCTGTATCAGACTTGTAGGGAGACCCTAGAGGCTTGATGCATTCCATTTTAGCTATGGGTTGATCGAAACCAACCCTCACCGAAGTACGTTAGAAGCATAACCGTCCCGCAGCATGCTTCTCCAGCTATCCCATAGGGTTCACGTGTGAAAGGCCTGCTCTTGGCACAGCTTAAACCGAGTATCATCAACCATTTTCCGTCCAGAGAAGCCAAACTCTCACAGCGTAGTGGACAGGCTGTACTGTCTTCATACACAGTGCGCCGTTGATGCTCCGACTTTCGGGACATACCGCATGGCTTCAATGCATCACGTTAAGTGCCGGAATTCAGAATTGAATGGTTTGCTCAAGGTTGTGCGGTACTGTTTGTTAGCAGCCGATGCATGCTATTGGTGCAATGCAGTAGACCATTCCTTGGGAGTTTCTTGCAAAAATTGTGGAAACAGCATTCATTTAAACTTTACATATCCTTCATCATTGTAAGTTTGCACCACGCTATCTTCAGGTGCAGGTTGCCGAACACAAGCTTATGTTCTATCAATCGGAAATATAGTAATTATTTAGAATTATCTGGTACATTTTTCGCATCACCCTGCAATTTACATACCAAGCTTCAGGCTACCGACACATGTTACGAGAATGGTCATTGACTATTGACATATATACATCATTGCTTTTCTCTACCAAAGTAGCTTGTCTTAACATGACATCTCCTCAAGGCGTTGCGCTTGCCCTGGCTTGGCTGGCTCTGCTCTAATTTGCCCCGACGGGATTGGCTGTGACTGAGGCTGTCCCGGAATGACCAACTTTGCCTCGCTCAGTCCGTCATGACTGGAAGCCTGCCCAAGTCTGTCTGTCCTAAGCAGCCGGCTCAGCGTCAGTCTGTCTGTCCTAACCAGCCGACTCAGCGTCAGTCTGTCTGTCCTAACCAGCCGGCTCAGCGTCAGTCTGTCTGTCCTAACTATCCGGCTTAGCGTCAGTCTGTCTGTCCTAAGCAACCGGTTCAGCGTCAGTCTGTTTCTCCTAGGTGACCAGCCCTGCTCTAGCTTGCCCTGACAGACCGAACATGTTTCAGTGTGTGTTGACTGACTAGTCTGTCTCAGTCTGGTTTGAACGATCAAATCTGTTTTCGTCTTTCTCGACCAACCGGGTGTGTTTCATTCTGTCCTGACTGGCCAGGCCTGTTTCACACTGCTCAGACTGCCCTGGATCGTTTTCTCCATCCTGGCTGACTGACTCCACGCCAGTTTCCCCTGACATGCCGAAAGTTGCCTGTTCTGTCAGTCTGGTCCGTTTCAGTCTGCTTGGCGCTGGAGCGTGGCGTAGCGGCAGTTTTCGGTCCGCAAACCGCCTCCACCTCATGGCACGTGCAGAGCATATGTGACGCCATGGAGGTTCCACATGTGGAGAGCCGCTGGGACTTCCGGCCGCGCCGAGCCGACTTCTCCATCAACATACATCCGCACCCGAGCACCCTCAGCAATGTACGAGCTGGCCTCCTGGTCGCGTATCTGGGCGCCTAAAATGGGTTGCGACCGCATATGGTTTTTTGTGACTGGTTTTTACCAGAAACTCAAGTGCAGTGATCTTTGCAGCTGGATTAGTAGCGACGTAGCCTGATAATTTGGGAGAAAATGAGTCTCTGATGCAGGAATTTCTTGCCAGTCGGTGTCCCATCTGCAGGCTCAACCACTTCCCCTCGCTTTTCCCGTGCTTGATGACACCTGGACCTGTCCTGCGCAAAGGGCAAAAACAGGCCGCAAACGTTCTGCCTCTAATCACACCCGGGCCTGCCCCACGCGACGGGCGAGAACAGGCCACGAACGTTCTGTGCCTGATCATACCCGGGCCTGCCTCGCACGATGGGCGAGAACAGGCCACGAACGTTCTGTGCTTGATCACACGCGGGCCTGTCTCGCACGATGGGCGAGAACAGGCCACGAACGTTCTGTGTCTGATCACGCCCAGGCCTGCCTCGCACGATGGGTGAGAACACTTTGACACCGCTCGGTTCTCGGCCAGGCGTACGTGTCGCTGATCCGCCAGTGGCACTGGCATGCCTTCACTATCGTGTACGAGGACGCCGCAGGCCTGCTGCGCCTGCAGGCGATGTTGCAAGCGCCGACACCCTCCGAGTTCAGCATCACCATCCGCCAGCTGCCCCCACAGTCAGACGACTTCAGGTAAGACCGGTCAGGCGCGCAATGGGCAGGAGAGGACCGAGGCTTTAGGTTCGGCAGGACAGGAGAGGACCAAGGCCTAGGGTTCGGATGGACTGGAGAGGACCAAGCCCTTAGGTTCGGATGGCCTGGAGAGGATCAAAGCCTTAGGTTCGGGTAGACTCGGGAGGACCAGGGCCTAGGGCTCAGACGGACAGGAGAGGAGCAATGCCTAGGGTTCGGATGGACAGTAGAAGACCAGGGCAACGATTCGTATTATCAGGAGAGGACGAAGGCCTTAGGTTCGAATGGGCAGGAGAGGGCCAAGACCTTAGGTTCGGATGGTCAGGGGAGGACGAAGGCCTTAGGTTCGGATGGTCAGAGGAGGACGAAGGCCTTAGGTTCGGATGGTCAGGAGAGGACGAAGGCCTTAGGTTCGGATGGTCAGGAGAGGACAAAGGCCTTAGGTTCGGATGGTCAGGAGAGGACGAAGGCCTTAGGTTCGAATGGTCAAGAGAGGACGAAGGCTTTAGGTTCGGATGGGCAGGAGAGGGCCAAGACCTTAGGTTCGGATGGTCAGGAGAGGACAAAGGCCTTAGGTTCGGATGGGCAGGAGAGGACGAAGGCCTTATGTTCGAATGGTCAGGAGAGGACGAAGGCTTTAGGTTCGGATGGTCAGGAGAGGACGAAGGCCTTAGGTTTGGATGGTCAGGAGAGGACGAAGGCCTTAGGTTCGCATGGTCAGGAGAGGACGAAGGCTTTAGGTCTGGATGGTCAGGAGAGGACGAAGGCCTTAGGTTTGAATGGTCAGGAGAGGACGAAGGCTTTAGGTTCGGATGGGCAGGAGAGGACGAAGGCCTTGGGTTTGAATGGTCAGGAGAGGACGAAGGCTTTAGGTTCGGATGGTCAGGAGAGGACAAAGGCCTTAGGTTTGAATGGTCAGGAGAGGACGAAGGCTTTAGGTTCGAATGGTCAGGAGAGGACAAAGGCTTTAGGTTTGGATGGTCAGGAGAGGACGAAGGCTTTATGTTTGGATGGTCAGGAGAGGACGAAGGCCTTAGGTTTGGATGGTCAGGAGAGGACGAAGGCCTTAGGTTCGAATGGTCAGGAGAGGACTAAGGCCTTAGGTTCGAATGGTCAGGAGATGACGAAGGCCTTAGGTTCGAATGGTCAGGAGAGGACGAAGGTCTTAGGTTCGGATGGTCAGGGGAGGACGAAGGCCTTTGGTTCGGATGGTCAGGGTAGGACAAAGGCATTAGGTTCGGATGGTCAGGGGAGGACAAAGGCTTTAGGTTCGGGCGAGCATACAGCAGGACGGTATCAAGAAAATTGATAAGTTGGTGGAGTTACATACAGTGCGCTGTCTGTATGCTGTCTGCAGGTATTTGTTTGTCGTTTGTTTTGCTCGCTCACTGCAGGGCAATTTAATGTGTCTCCGCTGCAAAAATTTCTGGACTGAGGTAGTGTGGTAAACGGGAAGTGTATTAAAACTACGCGCCTAGAAAACGTCTGGAAAACCAAAGGTATGGGGTTTAAATCCCAGCGGTGCCTGCACATCCCGCTAGGGTGAGAGGCAGGCAATGCCACATAGCCTCAGCAGCTCAGTGTGCGGTGAAGCCACAATGACCTAAATTACTGAATTTGAATAATTACCATGACGCAGAAATCAACGGGCCTTAGCCACGCTTGCGGTAGGCACACGCTCTTTGCTCCATATGTCACATCACTATATGCTCAGTCAAAAGGATATCCAGATAGCATGGATCGGTGCAGAAAACACCCGGTAACCAACACTATGCCGCCAGAGGTGGTTGCTCGTACTCAACACTACTTGCGCTCTCTCGTATCTTCAAATTGCTTTTCTCAGATATCCTTGCATTTCGTGAGTGCTGAAAAAGTTGATACCATTGCATGACACTCAGTTGTGTGGTGACCACAGAGGCAAATTCCATTACACCACAAGTTCCACACCCTGCGGATGTCAACGCCTAACACTAACCACGTTTTTGCTTTACTGCAGTTGGAGTTCTTCATCCTAGTTTCTTTTACTGCGTTTGTGTTTCTGTACGGTCATTTTTGCTCTGGCAACGGTACAAAACAGCCCTCCTTTCAGTGATTTGCCTGGTATTTCCCTTTCAAATAAGGAGCTACTCATTTTTAACGTTGACAAGAGACCATTTGCATGAGATGATGGTAGACTTTATTATTTATTGCCTACGAAATTTATGTTGGCATTTGGTAGTTGCGTAGGCCAATTTCTCTAGATCCAAAGCGTGGAGCTTTAATATAAGAAATGCCTTTTTGCACACAGTTTTATTTATCACAGCATGACCGGTCTTATTCCTATGTTGTTGTACACAATTTTGTTCGTCACAATGCGATTGGTCTTTCATATGGTCAATGCTTACCAAAGAATCCGTCGCGCTTTGCTCAGTGTTTAAGCCCTCTGTACTCAGGTTGTGCTCAATGGGTACGGGACGGGACTGCGGCGTCAGACCATGACTCTGAAAAATTCTGCGGCGGTAATTAGTTGTATCGATCCTTGTCCAGGGCCTGACGTCACCGCGCCCTTCTGGTGTGGCGCGTGTGACGTCATCTTAGCATAGCTCTGACTTGTTGACACCATCTCCTCATCAAGAAGCTCGTCAACATTTGGCTCCGTGCCATTGACGCCAGTGATACGGCCTATTCACGGCATCCATCCGAGTGACGTCACTTCTCGCAACCCTGACGCAGACGGCGTCGTGCCGGGCTGCTTGCTCCTGCTTGTGCGCGTCTGTGTTACCTGCGATGAAGAGAATATCAGCATGTCCCAGAAGGTAAAGACCCCATGGTGTCCGGGCGAAGGAAATAAAACGGAGCAAGGGCTACGAATGTACGAAGGCCCAGAAACTCGTGGGATAGTGCCAGCGGGTCACTTTACTAGACACAAGCGATGAGGTGCGGAAGCGCAATGTCTGGTCTAACGGGAGAAGGACGTTTGGTCTTCAGACCAGGACTCTGTAGGATGGCGGAACTGAGCGAGTCATTGGGCCAATCATTCCGAGGCTAAAGCACTTCCTTTGAACTCGCATTGGATCGTGTTCGCGGACGTCTTGCCAGGCGCACCGGTCTACACTAGTAGTTGAGATAGGTTAATCGAAATGCTTATCTTACGCGTCCAGTTAAATAGCCCACGCGTCAGCTTCATCCTGTTTTAGCCCTCTCCGTGTTGCTGTTTTGCACTTGGTAATTAACGGTGGGAGGACACCAACGAGTGTGACCGCTAAGTGCGGATGTCCCGCAATAATTCACTTTTCCACGTTGATGGCGTTACAATGTAGGTCCCGTGGCTCCATGCCGCCGTTACGATACAGTTCGAAGCATAACAACTCCGAGATATTAACCTGAGTATAAAGATGTCTAGCCAGCGTCTCCGGAGTACTGTGCTGTGACAGAAGCCATGTGCGTTTAAATCCCACGTCTGCTATCAGTTCAACCTGTCCAGCGAAGTGGCATGATATTCTTTGTCGGCACTGCAGACCGCTGTTGAAGCGGATCAAAAAGAACGCCGGCACCAAGATCCTTCTGGACTGTCGGCTGTCGACGGTGCCGTCTCTGCTGCGGCAGGCCCGAGAGCTCGGCATGATGAACCAGTACTTCAGCTACCTCATCACCTCGCTGGTTGGTGGCTGGCATCGTACGGCTGCTCTGAACGCCGCGGTGAAGCTGAACGGTAGAGTTAGAGCACGGTCGCTAACGCTTGCCACGTGGATGGAGAAGCTGCCGTACAACGACTTTCAATCACAAAAGGTCGGCAGCAGGTGCCGCCGCGTCTCCCACTCACGGCAATAAATGCAGGCGTTTCTGTCCACTGGACCGGGATTGTCTAGATATGCCACCAGCGCATGCGGTGTCGCCGCCGCGGTCCTTCAGATATGCATGGACCTAGTCGGCCTACAACCAAAAAGGTGATGTTTCAAACAAGACGGACAGGGTTGGTGTGGATTCGAACTTATGAGCGGTAGGCAGACACCAAGGTGTACAATTACGCCGAAATTTGCTAATGGGGGGCGTAACGAAACCGGAAAGTTCCCAGCGTTGCAATTGCGGACGTAAAATCCATCGAGCACCGCATTAAATCAATGCAGCATACCTCACACTGACCAACCAACGTACCGGCACTCAGCGACCTCTGGGCTGTTCTCAGGACGTGCACATCGTGGATCTGGACGAGTTCAAATACACCGGCGCTAACATCACTGCCCTGAGACTGGTCAATCCGTCCGATCCGGCGGCAGATGACGTCATCCGGCGCTTCATGACGCCGCCCACCGCGGCCCAAACACGCGAGGTAACAAAATCCGGGCTTTCTGTACAGGCTCTGCACCAAACAGGCCCTGACGACCCCTCACTGGGCGGGATAAAGGTGGGTGTGACGGATGGGTCCCGCGTGGCGCCGGGCGCGGGTCAGATCTCCCTCCGAGCGCGTCCGATCCGTGGGCGGTAGCTGTGTCCGGGCGGATTTCCGACGACGGAGAGGGGCGCGGTTGGCGCCGGTCCTGACCGCGAAGACGGCCGGTATTGTGTGGGCGGTGTGGCTCCGGCTCTATCAGCGAGCGGCTAGACAGTGTTGCGCCGTTCCTGGCCTTCGTGTGACTGCTGGGTGGATGGAGGGCCTGGATAAATGGAGCAACTCAACGCTTGAGCTCCGGCTGAGTTTACCTGACATGCTCCCGCACATGTTTCATGTTTAACTTATCATGAAACCGTTTCATTTCTAATGCGCTGAAAACAGTGCATCAAGTATCATCAGGTCGTCAAAATCCGCATGTAGCTTTATAAAAATTTGACCTTGACATTACAAGCTGGGGTCAATTATTTATCTAACAGCATCAAACTTGGTAACAATCGCGAGGATTTCACTTGAAAACAATCTACAGGGGCTTTCTGCTAAGCTCTATATTGATTTGTTTGGAAACGGCAGGCGGTTCAAGTGATCAATGACTAAGCTGGCCATCGCGGACGTCTACAAAAAGTAGCTTCCTTTTAGAAAAAAAGAGCTGAAAAATGCGCTCATATCCAACAAGCTCATTTGTGACTATCTATTACCTTATTTCTTACCACCTATTAGCTCATTTCTAACTACCTGTTAGCTGATTTCTGGCCGCTTCTATTGAGTCGTCACTTCATTAGCCACCATATTCCCATGTTATCGCTCACGTTCAATTTCGTATTTCAGACTAGTAATTTAGCAAGAGGACCGCACGTTAATGGCTCAAGGTTATTGGTGAGTAACGAGTTTCCCAGGCCTTGTAGCTTTTCATTCTATTTATATTTTGTTATTGGCGTTCGTGTCATGCATGATTAGGGTGCTAGAATGTTCCCTATGAAGTTTTTGGGGATATCTCTCTGGCATGTATGAAATCGCGCCGATATTTTTAGGGAACCTATGGGGCATCCATTGCGCATGCTTCAATACAAAAAATGTGTTTCTAGCTCTTTGGTTTCAGAGCAGCGGCGGTTTTTTAAGGAACGCTGTACAATGATCTGTTGCCTGAGCTGGCGGAGGGCGGTAACCGACGATGCCGTGGCACGCGCGTGGTGACCCGACATGATGATCTAGCGGAGCCACGTATCATACATGTATGCTGAAGCATAACAATAAACACCATGGTACGCAGAATAAACTAGATACACGCTTGCATAAATTTATCGTCGCTGCAAGGCACGGTCTCGTAGGCATAAGCTTGGGAGCTGAAAAAGTGCGAATTTCGAGGAAATTGGACCTTTGACCTGGAACACGGGATCCATTATGAACCCAACAACATATCATTTCTTATCAATCGCGAGATCTCCCCGAAAATCATCCACTGGTGTGGTTTCAGCTGGGCTCTATTATCAGTTCGCTGAGCTCTTCCACCAGTTCGCGTTATGAAAACCGGCGAATCAGAACGAGGATTAATTAATATGCGTGCATCCCCGGCGTGTAGAGCTCGTCCCTCGCATGCACAATGTAGCGTGTATAATTGCATAGTGCATAATGCCTTTAGGTATGTGAGTGGTTCGGAAGGAAGTGACTGCGACTGCACCTGGGTGACGGAACCAACACCGTCACGGTACCCATATATCCAGTCAAGGTAACTGAAGCAATAGCTCAATATCCTCTGAATGGCCTAATGGCTGAATATCCTCCGTGCTGGCACCGACGATGTGCTCTTTTGAACAAGTTTGTGAGATTTGTCCCATTGCTACCACCTGGGTCTCGGTTGTTCAGGTACGGACTATGGGTCTGCCTCTGCATAGGTATTGTAAATACCGTCCTATAGTATGGATGACAATAAGTCATAACAATCACGTCAGTCAATCATTGCCAACAAATCAGTCAATGATATCAATGTCGGTAGGCTGTGTCATTCAAACGACAGGCGTCAGGCACAGTTGACGCATGCATCGTCCGACATCTGGGAAGAAGGCTCGGCCCCTCCGGAATGCTTAACACGCAGACGTAAAATGTCTGGCGGCATACGCGCTTCACATACCTTTTACCATACGGTATGGCATTCATATAAGCCCGGTTCCATCGTAAGACCTTAGCCCAGCATTGACCAAGAGGGGGGTCTGCCCCCTTGTCGAATGCTCGCGATATTTAAAAAACACACTGGTATATTGGTGCGACAATATACCAGTGGTCATGGATCAATTCTATGCCTGGTGACAAAATTCGGCTTTGAGGTCATAATAGATTAAACGTGCGTGACGACGGAGTGACGCCATGTTTGCCAGCTTTTTACAAAACGGTATAGTCATAGGCAAATAAGTAAAATATACTCAGGTACATGACATATGTTGACGTAACACGTGCTCATATGTTCTGTTGACGTGTTGTTTTAACTTTGCACAGAGAAATCAAATAAATAACAAAAAATTGCTTAAATCAAATAACAAAAAATTGCTTAAAAGTGCGCTTATCATTTTTAACCTTGGCTTAAACCTATGACAACAGGAACAGAACGTTCTAACTAAGCCTTTGCAGAATGCCTGTACCTGGGCTGAACCAATTATCTTTAACAATGACTAAACTGGTCTTGAAACGCGTCCCTGCGCATGTTGCCCTTGCCTAGGTGGTCCCACACCAGCGGCAGCGGGCGGCAGGGCTCATGTCTGCTGCAGTGGCGCTGTGACGGGCGGCCACAGTTTGGAGAGCTCGTGGAGTTTGTCGTGTGGTCTGAGACCGTGTACCACGGCGCCATCGATTGCCTAACGATCTGTGTTTTCGATTCGGCTTAGTTGTTCTTTATATAAGCAGGGGAGGGGTCCAATCTGTTCCTGCCTAGCTAACAGTGTGCCACCGAGGACTTGTATACATTTCCGTCAATTGCAAGTGTGCACAGAGATATGCAAAATCCTATTTGTCGCGCACATCCAACACGAATTCGCTTACGCAGCCTGAGGTACAATGAAAGATAGGGGTGATGCTGTGGGTACGCTGAGGGGTTGAAGACTGCTATTTATGGCATGCGTTTAGAGTAAATCGCCCCCAAGTCATGTGAAAATGAGATGCGTCAACCCACTCTCATTTTCCCAGCTTATAAGAGTGATGATGATTATATTGATATTCTTCTGACTTCTGATGCCACCAGTCGATACCGACACTTCTCGTGCGCAGTTACGCTTCTGCTGAGGAGATCATGCCGCTGTCCAGCTCCCAGAAGCCTCTGATTTAGGGTGGTCTGACTTCATTCTGGTAACTCTAGACGGAGGTGGCGCTGATCCATGATGCAGTGCTGGTGTTTGCCCGAGCCCTCCACCAGTTCGGCCGGTCTCTGCACACGCAGTCGCTGAGCTGCGGCACCGAACGCGGATGGTCCCAGGGCAGCTCACTCCTCAACTTTATGAAGTTGGTAAGTGTTCTCTTCACCCTCGGTCTTTGCCTCCCCTGCCCTGGCTTCCGGGTGGTCCTTGGGCCACTCCACTTTCACTTTGTGTCTCTTCTCTCTCTCCCTCCTCTCATCTTCATGTTTGTTGGTCGTGCAGTCCTTGCATGTTGAGATGAGCGACGTTGATTTGCTCTGAGGGATTCAAAAATTTGTACAATCATCATACCCGCAGACTTCCTTAATTTGCATGAGCTGGCGTCAGCTGACAGGCTCACTGAAAACCCGGTGATATTTTACTGAGTGCGAACCTTGATCTGTTTAGAGATATTCACTGCATATGCACCAAACAAAACGATATGTAACTCATCCACAATGGGCGAGGCGTGGCTGCCAGCTCAGTCGAATTTATCCAATTTTTACAGGAGGGTGTGTGCCGTTCCTCTGTCCTGCTGCAGGTGCGTCTGCCTGGCTTGTCCGGACCCGTTCAGTTTGACGGGGAGGGCTTTCGCACCGAGGTCACGCTGGCCATCACCGAGCTCTCAAAGGACGGGCTGACCCGCGTGGGCACGTGGTCACCTGACCAAGGCGCCAACTACACCCGCAACTACGGTGACAAGATGCAGGAAATCGAACAAAGCCTGCGCCATAAGACGCTGGTCGTCATGACTACCGTGGTAAGGCTGGCTATATGGCTTTGATTATGAATCGATGGCCACTCCATATTTGACGTAGTTCTGTGTAATGAGCGGGCATTGCGAGAACGGCGTTGCTAGTTTAACAGACCCAAAAATATTTGCTGCTGCGACGCTAATTTCTGCAACAATATGTTAATCAGATGTGATACCAAAATAAATCTATTCAAGTAAATCCAAGTAAAATCACCGGATGTCGACGCCTGTCAAGCCAGGCAAATGAATGCAAGTTTGTTCCATGTTCGGCACACTTGTTGTCTCTTTGAGTACAGAACCCATCTGTGTATCGACTTAGACCAGAAACATAGCATTCAGTCAGTTTCCACGCGCCTAACGTAGCAGTTTTGTTTTGTTAATGCTCATAAAACCTCCTATTTGTTGCTTCCGAACAAGCGTATGCAACTGCAAACGCATCACGTCTCCTCTTTTGGTACGTAGCCAAGCGCTTCGGTATTCAATGCCATCAGTGTGTCGATGTGATTGCATGAGCGGTCATCGAGCCCAATAGGCACTTCAAACCGCCGTCGCCTTAAAAGACCAGGTGTCAGGCTATTTATCGACACATTCAATGCTGAGTTGCATTATACCTTCTGCCTATGTTCAAATACGGGACGATGGAAGTTCTTGCCTGCCGGGGCCACGACCGAACACACATCCTTTGATCCAAATTCTGACACCTTGTCCACTTGGCCACCCGCGCCCCTGCCTCAGAACGAGCCGTACGCGATGCTAGTGAACGAATCGGACACCACGCTGACCGGCAACGCCCGCTTCGAGGGCTTCTGTATTGACCTCGTGAACGAGATCGCGCGACTGCGCGAGTTTTACGTGCAGTTTGTGGAGGGCGGCAGCTATGGCGGCATCGATCCCATCACCGGCGAGGCCAGCGGCATGGTCAAGGAGCTCATGGACCAGGTAAGCGCTGCCGCGTGCTCGTGCTACCGGCAGAGGAGACCCTCGTAGGAGCTGCGCAAAGTGTTCTCTTTGCGGGAGGAATGTTCGGCCCTGATGAATGCAGCGCCATTAACGAAAGGTCATGGGGCGGGCCCGGAGAAAACGCTCGTGAGGCTTTGAGCGTAATCATGTGTTTCTGTATCAGGTATGTTGATGTTAATGTCGCCAAACTATCTTGTCTGTCTGTGGGGAGATACTAATGCTACGCCAATGAACTGTTTGGTTCCATTTGCCTCAGTAACTTATTGCCACAAACCGTTATCGGCTTGTCGTAAGAACTAAGAATAAGTGTATTTGTTTCAGAAAGCTGACATGGCTGTAACTGACCTGACAATTACCTATGAACGCGAACAAGTGCTGGATTTTACAATGCCCTGGATGAATCTCGGTAGGTATAACTTGGAGTTATCTCTCGTGGTACATCTCATGGTCACTGCTACTCGCATAACATTCCGCAAGGTATCTATGCTATTTTGTACCTAAGATATGAAAAATGTGCGCTATATTTGCTCGTATATGTTAGTACAACTTCCCATATTTTCATATCAGTTTTAGCGTGCAATCTAGAGCGTTAAATCATCGCGTGATGAGTTAATTTTCCGCCCTTTTTCCGTTTTTTCTGTTTTGTTTGGCCGTCGACCCGCCAGGAAAGGCGTTTGCTGTTATGAGCGCGGCGCCCAGAACCGGACGCCTGAGCGCGGGAGTGTCGTCGGAAGACAGTGGGTGGATTAAACGTGCGCTGGTGAGCAAGATCAGACCGAGGCGCTGAGTGCACTGGAAAGAAAGATTGTGTCTGGTTTGACAAAAAGATTCGTTGGAACCCACAAGCCGCATCCCTGGTTTCATCGTAGTGAGAGATCAAGTTTTCCACAGCAGCATGCATGAGGGTCACTCATTCATATCAAGCTGACGATGTGTTCATCATAATTTTTTTGTGAAATAGGTGGCTGAGTTACGTATTTTGTACCCGTTTGTGCATTGCTTTTAGTTGAAGCTGCTGTAGTGTGTCGGTTTACATTTTCTTTTCCGGGTTGATGTCTTAATTCAGCATTTCACGGCCATTTCAATGCTAATTTCCAGTCGATAAGTTTTCAACCCGTTCAATCTACGTGGACTGGCAGATTTTGAAATCCGGCCAGGTCCTAATCCATATTTTGGTGGAAGTTTCTGATGCGGCCCTATCCGACCCGTGGATTGATTTACAATTCGTGGATTGCTCCAACCTATGGTGTGCTCCGGTGTTCAGTCATCCATCATTCCAAAAACAGGTCCAAAGGCCGTTAATAAAAACGTCGCGAGCCCAGTATTTAAAACGAATCCTCTCAAACTCCCACGGCTCACCATCTAATGAGGTGCTCTAGTAAGCTGACAACAGTAATATTCACGTTTGTTTCAGGCATTGGAATCCTGTATTCGAAGCCTAAAAAGGAACCGCCTCAGGTAATGCAATCTTATTTCACTCTGGAGTTTATAGCGCTCAGCAGACGCCTAGCATACTAAGCACATATTTCTCTACCTGGATGACTCGTGAAATAATTGCTTTGCTTTACTGGCGGTCATGGTTTAACAAATGTATCGGAAATAAATGTCAGTTCATGGCATAACACAGACCACAATGTTGAATCGGCTGCCTGGAGCATGGAGTTTCCTGTTGAAATCTACAGATGACAGTAAACATATACTTAATTATATTCCACACCGGACCACGTAGCGCCGAAAAGCATGCCCACTGTTTTGTTCCTCGCGCAAGGTAAGTGCACGGCAGCATATGTGGACACCCGTGCGACCCGCTCTTTGCTCCGCTTAATTGAGACCGTTCCATGCTGGACATTGGTCTCGAGTTACCTTTCACGCACCAATGTTCATTTTACCCCGTGGACAAAGAGGGGGAGATGCGAATAAATTTTATTGCAGGCACTTAGAATGTACATAAGTTTCTCAAACCAGCAGGTTTGAAACTCCTATCGAGGCGTTCAACGTTGTTCAGTGTTCCAACCGCTGCCAGCTGTATGGTTCAACTGATATAAAACCTTTAAAGTTGACGGGAAACTCTGTTTCCGGCTTAAGCGGAAGCCTCGAAAACCCTGGGTGGGATCAAAACTGACACATGTTTAGGGTCATTTCGAGCCGTCCCGAAACCCATGTTCACACGCATATGTCACAACGGTGAGCATTCCTGTCAGCCAATGGGATGTCGGGTCCAAACTTGGCTGTTTCTTGCTTCAGATATTGTCTTCAGACGTTGCTTGTTTCTTTTCTTTCCCTTTGTCTTTTTCTTTTCTTTCTTCTTGCTTCAGATATTGTCTTCAAACGCTGGTTAAACAGCTTTGGTGAATGAAATGAAAGAAACGAAAAGTGCTCGTCTGAATACCGAAAAATGTAAGCGTACCAACTGTTCCTGTCGCAGCCCTATGGGATTTGGCTCGTATTAGAGCCATTTCGGCCAATAATGACAATGTCATAGTTTCTGAAAAAGTGGATGGATAATGGTGGGGCAAAACTGCATGCACCTGTCGGCTCTCCACTGAGACTTCGCCCGCACAGTGAACCCTGAATGGGATATGTGCCAGGCGCTGGGAAGATTTGAAGGCTCGGCTTATACAGCCGTCCCGGATAAACGGGGCGTCGCCAGGATGTAGGATGAAGCGAGAATGAGGGGAGCTGAAGTGTGACGGCGCACCATGTGTCTGCAGCTGTTCTCCTTCCTGGCGCCGCTGTCGCTGGAGGTGTGGCTCTACATGGCGGCCACCTACCTGGGCGTGTCCGTGCTGCTCTTCATCCTGGCCAGGTCGGTCGCGCTGTCAGGCTCGGCGGGACAACATTGGACAGTCGGCACCGCCAAAGCGTAATATTGAACCTTCCAACCCCAGACGGAATGTGTGCTGTCGGTTGTGAGTCGTGTTCATCAGAAGACATGCCCAAATTAGGTGAAATCATCTCCGATCGTGAAAACCTGACATCATTGGTAGCCTAGGCTAGCATGCAGTGCGCAGTCAGCTCGCCAGTTTTGCAGAGGCGCCTCAGCCCCTCCGTAGACTGCAGGAGGCGCGGCCGCTTTCAGGTTCAGTCCGTACGAGTGGGACAACCCGCATCCTTTCAGGTTCAGTCCGTACGAGTGGGACAACCCGCATCCGTGCCGGGAGGAGCCAGACGTGCTTGAGAACCAGTTCAGCCTGCCCAACTCGCTCTGGTTCACCATCGGCTCGCTGATGCAGCAGGGCTCCGACATCGCTCCAAAGTGAGGATCCCGCTCACCAGGCGGCGCCTCGGTCACTGACGACGGGGTAACTGGGAGCGGAGCAAGCAACGGACGTCTGTGCTCTGGCCATTTATGTGAAACAGAGAAGGACTTTGCCCTGCCAGATTTTAGAAGCGTATTCTAGTGACGATATGGTTAGAATAAAATAAAACTAGCTTTTAATCCCATTCTTCCACATTTGTGACTGATTTAGGAGTCATCCTGTTCACGGAATTATTGACAGCTGATATAGGTTGAGTAACTTCCTCTAAAAACGTACGCATCAAAGCGCAGCACGTTTTCCGATGTAACCCGAGGTCGTGACATGTCACGGAGATAATCCGGTGTAATCCGCTGGTTACAGGGCACTCTCGACAAGAATGATCGCCGGCCTGTGGTGGTTTTTCACACTGATTATGGTAAGCTCAGCCGAGTTGACGTAATGTAAAATGATATGCGCAACTTAAGAATGGACTACACGCCTCTTAGCATTTGGTACGAGGAGCTGCAGTTGAAATGGTCATGAGTAAAATCCGAAACATGTCGGCCTCTACCGTGCGTTAGACTGCGAATCGGGCAATAACTCAACATGCATTGGAAGCGCAGTAGTGAGAGCGCTAGTTTCATGCATCTCTCAATCACTGGAAGGTTCGGGTGTCCACAATAGCGGTATAAAACTGTTTCTGACAACCCACGGAGGGGTCGGCAATTGGCATTTTGGCATCGCCTGTGCCAACACGATCCCTCAGACCGGCGGTTCCATCGATATCAATACATATCACCTTGCTACTTACAGCTCAATCTTCTTAAATTTGGAACAAATGACTGGATCAAGTTGGAAAATGGAATTGGCATGAACGTTGATTACTCTATAGCCTATCAAAATAGTGTTGAATAGTATGGAAGTTTACCGACAGGGACGCAGCCAGAGCCTTGGTAAGGGAGGGGGGGGGGGGGGGCCTGATGTCGACAAGGTGCCACCGGATGGTGAAAGCCCCCCCCCCGCCCAAAAAAATTATCGGATATGACTCACCTTGTTTCAGGATACAATTGGTATTTTTGTCAATTTTCTTCTTACCTTATTTAACGGAACAAAGGCCAGGGGCTCCCGTAAGACAAGATTGTCCTGTTTGTATTTTGAGGCTATAAGCTGAAAATAGTGGACGTTAAATAACTACATGGAAAAATCTACCGACCCATTTAACCTAACGGCTGTTCAGCGGGCACTTTTTACGCCGGTAGAGCTCAGAGATTTCGCTATTTTTTCTGCGGATTTTACATTTATGTTGTCGAATCCGTGTAGGTAGATTGTAGATAGAAATGGGGTGACAAATTTGCATTACAATGACATACATGATTGTGTGGAAACATTCAACATTCAGTCAGAATCGATGAGTGGGAAAATCATGCAACATAGTTTAAAACACGCGTGAGCCTGAAAAGCGAAAAACGACGTCAGGCGTTGCAGTCTCCACAGACTGCGCGGCGTCGGCCTTGCAATTAATATAGGGTGGTGCTTAATGGGTAAACAAAAATGATGATGGATATAAAATAAACACTTCTGAAAGCTTTAAAACTTCAACTACTACGTTTAGAATGCAGCCAGGGCTTACATTTCACTTGTGCCATTTTGAGATTGATAATAGCCGTTTTCACGACGGATTAATCCGCTGAAAGGTTTTAAAAAGCTGTCTTAAGTGTTTTTACACAGTTTAAGTATGCACTTAACACTATCACAGGGAATTTGTTGTGTTTATTCAATGTCCTTGACATTCAATGGCTGAACCGCGTGTATTAATATTTGAATAAGCTTATAGTATAAAACGGAACCCTCCAGTAAAAAGGAACTCCACAGACATTTGTTTCTTCAGCCCGCGTCTCAGCTTACTTTGGGTTTACTTCATATGTGTTCGTGTTTTGGCCCTTTCTCGTGGCTCTCTTGTACATTTCCTAGTGATTTTAGTATAATGTTTGCTTGCATTAGCACTCTCGGCTACGACATTTAAGTGATTCGATTCTCAGTCTCATTTCTGTCATACCCAGTAACACTGTCCAAATATCTACATCACAAAACGCGTTTTGTGTATGAAATTTGCAGTTATCGCATTATGCTGGTTGAAAGCCAACTACTGTCCGCTGATGCCATGATTTGCACCAACGCGCTTCAAACATGAATAACTCGATAGTCCTATCTGCATTGCCCTTGAACGCAACATGGCCACAAGGCCAGGCGGGATTCGGGTTACTTTTCTATTGCGTCATGCATCTCCGGTTAGCTTCAAATTAGGTGGTGCGAAATAGCCTGTAAAAGGGTGCGTTCGCCTAGCTCAGAAGCACCTGAATGTGAATTTACAGCTATATGGACATAAGTGTGAATTGCAAGGAGTTATCTTGATAATAGCTTATTCAATTCCAAACAAATAAATGTGGAAAAGTCCCTTTAAAACGCATTTCTGACGATTTTTGACCATGGATCACCAGGAATCAGGGACTCAGAAATTTGATCCTGAAATATACGGAGCCATTACGCCACGGACCACAAAACGGACTGTGCACAATCAAAATAGACCTCTCCGTAGTCCCAGACCAATTCTGCCCTAGAACTTCCAACGTTTATGCATCCTCAGCAACAAGTTGCTGCAAAGTTGTTGCCCAAAGATGAATCAAAGCGTCAGAACAAACGCTTGTAGCTGGGAAAAAGCTGTATATTTGATGGGGGCCACCTCTATCGTGGCAACAGCAGCTAGGCAGGTTCATAGGGTGCTGTACAAAAAGGCGAAGGCGCTAAGACAACAAGAAGGAGACCTGAGAGGCCGCCGTGGCGGCGGCAATAAATGATCTACAACATGACAGAGAGCCGTGAGATAAGCTTTGCGAAAGGGCATAAGCTGACCTTTGCAGAATGCCGTGTAGCATCAGCACGATCAGGCGGCAAGGACAACTGCTATATGATTTGCGTATAGACTGTGAGGTGTGCTGATGCGTGCATTGATGTTGACTTACTATCGCTCCATTCAAATTTAACTCCCGTTTTGTGCTTTATAGGTGGAAAGTTACGTTACTTTCCGCTTCTTCGTAGCTCGGTAAACACATCTTGGCAACATCACATGATCCTAAGACCTGACATGTCACGTGAGCTTTCTTTCTGCGTCACCAACTGATGAATGAACTTATTTTCTTGGAAAATGATGCTACGATTGATGCTGAGACTACGCAAGGACAGAGCGCATCAAAGGGTGAGAAAAAGGAAGGTGAGAGGGTCAGCAACAATGGGTGTAAAGGGAACAAGTCCTCTAGCTACCATCATCGATTGATTAGCTTATTGATCACTTTCATTGTGCACGCTGGATTGCGCCTCTGTTTCCAAAATCTTAGGTCTTTGCTCGAGTATGTGTCATTTTCACTTACCTTAGGATGTTACATAACCCAGGCGGCTGTTCTCGAAAGATTTCAAGAATCATAGGGGATGGTGCAGGACGACTTGGGGAGGGAAGCAAACTACCCAAAAGGTATAATGCTCCATATTGAGTGTTACAGCATTGTGAGCATTGAGTGCTTCGCATAATTCCACTTGTGCCTTGTGAACTGTTTAAGAAATTAAACCATCGGAATGGGCATTTGCTCACGCTTGCAACGCATGTGGGTGTAACTCGCTCAATATTGCAAGCCGTTATACAACAATGAAATGATAAAATAGCCCTGGTTTTGGAAAGTGACCTGTTTTTCACGTGTAATGAAAGACAAATGGAAGCTCTTGATTTTTTTCTGTCAAAGATTCACATTTCAGGACACACTGATTCGTAAAACCTGGACAACAGCATGGTAGTTTTTCATGCTCACATATGAAAACGCACGTCTCATTGCACCACGTATTTTCATGGAGCGTGTGGTGCTGAAACATGTATATCGCTGCATCTGATCATATAAAATTCAATTAGATTGCGCTATGTCGGCAGGAAATCATTTCGGTCATCACCAGCACTGGACGGCGCATCCGCAAAATATTATGACAACGACAGTACAATAACAATATATGCATACACATGATAATATATAATTCCTTACATGATTATTTGTTACGTTCGTTAGGTCATAGCGTTATGTTGCATCAGTTTCGGCAAAGAGAAAAAGAGCTTTGCCGGGCTGCCGGGGCTTCGATTCGATTTTTTGTTTTGTTAAAGCCAATATTCTTTATAGCTTTTTTAACCTACATGGGACACTTTGCAGTCCATTCGTATTTGGTGTCAAATATTGGTCGTTAAATCGACATTCTATGAGAAAAGATATCCGTATGAGTCCAGTTCTGGGGTACTCTTGTTCGGTATTATTATACTGTTTGTATTACATGACCAGATGATCTATAGACGGATGCCTGTGCAAGCAAAGCTTTTCCCGCGCAGAGTCAATAGCAATACCACAGAGGGACGGTAAAATATTTTTGCAGAACCGATGACCGGCATCCTGAAAAAGCGACCCGAGTGTCATATCCGCCGATGCCACTAGATAGGCAATAGGCAACTAGATACCTAATGCCACTAGATAGGCAACGTCTATGCTGAGGTGTTAGCAGACATGTACAAATTGAAAGAGGGGCATCAACTGTAATATCTTATAAAACAAAAATAGCAAGAGTGTTTACGTATTGAATTTCTTTAAGAATCCCACTTACCTACATCACAAAATAGTTAATCATCAAATATTAGGGCCACATAAAACTATTAAACTTCAACCATCAAGTAAGTTTGACAGGGCTGCGTCAAAACGTCCAAAACAGACAGACTATTAAATGTATGCAGTTATTGCATTACAGTGCGTCTAGTCTCCCTTTTCTATCAGCCCAACGACTCATGCAAGGAATTCCACTCACGCATATGGCTCGTTGCTCATTTTTCTTTTGTTTAACGAATGTGCGCGCAATCACTTATGTTATCATCGTCGATGGAGGTTGGAGGAGGTCGACGTAATCATCGTCGATCGATGATGTAATATTCTATGATGTACCAACAATGTTCATATTGTTATCTGTGTATTTGGGTGTGTTGACGCAATCCTGGTGACTTGACCTGATGGTTAAAGTTGAACAGAAATAGTTAAACCGCGTCGGGTCGGGCTCGGCTCGGCTGGGAATACTATGAGTTATATTCTTCCGCTGCCCAAGACTATTCCATTCTGTATACGTGGCCATAATTTCTGCTGCCATGCCTTTCATTTAGCCGTTACATTTGCATAGTTCAAATTTATTTGACGTATGGGCGGTGCTTGTCGTCACAAGCTCAATAATTCTGCTCTACTGGCTGGTATACATAAGTAACCTGTAATGCGTCTATTGCATACTTATTGATGCAATAACATGCATACACTGAGTTTTTTACCTCCCTCACATCGTCTCAACTATCCGCACTAATCCACTTTTAGTCCGGGCTTAAATCCAGAATGTCTTCTGGGTTCAAACATTCCTGTCTGAGCGGGTCCACCTACCATCCCAGTCATGGCCATCCTAAAGCACCGTCATATTGTCCTTGCATGTTTATATCATCGGGCTATGTAGTGCCATGTGCAGACGTTGTAGCCACGTGATCTCACCGCCGGCCGAGAAGGTCGTATTGGCAGACGAGATGCCAAGATAGATGCCCCGCCACGAGGCTCGTTGTTTGGAAGAGAGAGCCCATCCGACCAGAAATTATCATTTCAGGGTTATGGGATGAAGGAGAATGGATAACGGTGGGGCAGAACTACATGCGCCTGAGGGATGGGGGGTCAACCGCCGAGCCTTATCTTGCGCAGGGATAACATGCGGGGTGTGCGCTAGGCACCCGGTGGGTGTGCCCTCCAGGGGGCCTCTCGGCCCACCCATGGCTAACGCGTGCAGCCTGCCACGGACAAGCGGGGTGTCGTGAGGATGCGAGATGAAGGGAGGTAGAGGATAAGAGAGTCCGATGCCCCCACCCCCCGCCACGGGGTGTCAGAAAAAGTTGGATATCAACGTTGCAGACGTCCGGACGATGCATTCAGTGAATGATACATTATGATGACGCTCTCACTGATGCGCTTCCAATGAATGTATTTTTATCGTCCAACTCACGGTTGAACGCGCGCTGTAGGCCAAATGCGGACCCTAGTCATGACCATTCCAACTGCAGCTCCCGCACGTCCTCCCAACCTTGCCATTTGAGCTGCGTCCTGCGCGAATTGCGTCGCCGAACATAAACGTGGCGCCTGCGGCGTCGGGATCGGCCCGCAGATCTCATCGTACACGGCGAACCTGGCGGCCTTCCTGACCGTGGAGCGGATGGTGTCGCCGATCGAGAGTGCTGAAGACCTGGCCAAGCAGACTGAGATCAAGTACGGCGCACTCGAGTCCGGCTCCACCAAAAACTTCTTCAGGTGAGTGGCGGCCAGGGGTGCGGGGCATTGCCTTTTTTGAATCAGTGAGGACAGTTTTGGTCAAACAGCCACTCATGGGTGGCTGTTTGACCAAAGCTGTCCTCACAGTGTCTCGCGTGCCTGACAGTGAACCCTTCAGACACGGAGGCTGCTTGCAGGCAAGGAGAAAAACGTGAAATTTTGAATTGAATTGAATTGAAAAAAATTGAAAAAACGTGAAAAAAATTCAGCTCCTGTTAGAGCTGCCAGCAAGCATTTTTCTTCATAGAAAACTCAAGCGACCACACTGTATCAGCCATCAATATCCGCAGGTCTGCGAACTCCCAGATACCACCATTTTGGTTTACTGGTGCTAGACATACTTGGGCTCGTTCCACTCCATCAGAATCAGGCACGAGTCAATTTTTAAGTACAGGTTTAAGTTCGATGGAGTCAAGCCAAGGCTCATTAATTTTACAGGAATCAGTTGACCCTGATTCCACGAAACTTTGGTTGAGCCCGGAGCCGATTGACTTGTGTTTTGCTTCATCAGAAGTCAAGTACAGATCTGGTACCGCGGGCCACCAGAGTGGCTCAGCCTCTGCCCTCTTCCGGTCACAGGGACTCCAAGATCGCCTCGTACCAGCGCATGTGGTCGTTCATGAAGTCGGCGAGGCCGTCCGTCTTCATCAAGAAGGCGTCAGAAGGTGTGGAGCGCGTGCGGAGCTCGCAGGGCCGCTACGCCTACCTCATGGAGTCTCCGCAGCTGGAGTACGTGGTGGAGCGCGACTGTGACCTGGTCCAGGTCGGCGGCCTGCTCGACACCAAGAGCTACGGCATCGCCCTGCCGCCCGGTACGGCCGGGACGGGACGGGACGGGACGGGACGGGACGGGACGTTACGGGACGGGACGGGACGGGACAGGACGGGACGGGACGGGACGGAACGGGCGGAAAGCGGGGTCGTGGGACGGGCGGCGTTGAGCGGGGCGAGGCTGTGGGAGTTGTTTTTTCTCGTTGAATGCAGTCATTTGTCAAATATGCATCCATGTATAATGTAAGGCTTAAGTTTGCCGCGTTCCAGGCGTGTACAATACTGTACTTTGTTCTTCCAGGTTCTCCATACACTTCAACGATCAGCAACGCCATCCTGATTCTGCAAGAAAACGGCACATTGCACGCGCTGAAGACCAAATGGTGGAAGGAGATGAAGGGAGGCGGGGCATGCAAGGTGACACTGAAAGGATTGACCTTAGTGTCAGGCAAATCTTCACCGAGGATCTGCCTTTTAAAAGGAGTGTCCCACCTTTTGAGCATATTCCAAAAGCGTACCCTGGTGCAACTCAGCACCATCTAGTTTAGTAATAGCACTGGGCAATGCCACCACACACCGACAACATAAGATGATAAGGATATCAATTCTAATTATTTTCTTGTCCAAACTGCGCTGGCAACGCTGTGTAACAGCACTTCACTTCTGCAACTGCAGATGTAGCGACCACCGTCGTCATGACGGCGGCCAAATGTGCTATGGGCCGTTGTCAGCTTTGGCGGGCTAAAGGTACCAGTTTTGAGCTGTTTTAGCCCGAACATTGTGGGCCTAGAGGCTTAAAGGCGGTATCTCGTATAATGTTTCGTTTAGTTTGCGGGATAATACCCCGATGTTTGCAGACCTTTGCCTCTAAAATAGGGTGTTTCAAGCTTCCGTATCAGTCATCACCCAAGGATTTTGACAAATTAGTGTGTTGCAAACATAGAACATAAGCGTTGGAAAGGCAAGGAAAATGAAATGCATCACTTTCCTAGGGGTGGACAGGGAGTTCAGTACGATATCTCCCGCAGGAAAAGTTAAAATTGAAAGTCTGAGCTATTCAGATGGATTTCGAGGCAGCTGGTATTACCGATCAAATCGCACGCGCCTGATCAACAACAAGAGAAAAGTACAAAAAAGTTGGTTTGCGTCTTTTAATGGAAGTGCTGATTTTTACATCAACCGATGAGGTGTTGGCGGCAGCACACGACTCAGGAATATCTGAATATTTGGCTGAATATCTGATTGGCTGGCTTCTGCGCGAAGAAAATGAATTTTCAGTCGAAATCTACCGCTGTCACTTATGCCGCATTTCCTGTTTGCTCACAGAACTCCTCCTTTGATAACAATTCGGTGCAACGTTCTGATACCTCTTTTTGTCGAAAGCAATGCGCATATTTAATTCGCTTGATAAGTTGCTGATACGCGTCTCATTAACGGCTTCAGCTACATCCATTACTTAATCACAGAGCAACATTGGCTGTCGCAGGCATGTCCGGAGCAGAGTCTGGCCCGACTGCCGAACACGGCGCAGTGCTCCGAATGTGATATATATATATATATATATATATATATATATATATATATATATGCTTGGGCCAATGTACTAGTGATCTTCAAGTTATTATGCCACTTTTGTCTGCCCACGACCACACAACGACGCAACTGTAGTGTCATCAACATGCAACAGTGTTGCGGCTGCTCACAGTCACGTCACCTCCGGGGACGGGAAGAGGTGGATGACCTTCCATTTGATGTTCACGGGTGGTGAATGGGTATGGAGGCAAACTAGTTTTGCTACCTCTGCGATGTTTAGAAACCTGCAGGAAAGGTGCAGTTTATGTCTCAGAACAAGGATTAGTTTGGTTGCTGTCTTATCTCCGTGCTGGGCACTCGGTACAATCGGCAGAAAATTAGTCGCTCGCTTTGGTAACCTGCGAACTCAACGCAAACAGCTTCTTGAGCAGTAACTACTGGGGCTTTCAGTTGGTGAGGTTTAACCGCTGCCGTCCGGGTAAGTTAACTTCCCCCTACGTTTTTTCGAGCATAGGTCAAAAACAAACGCTCGCAGCGACAAGAAATTTTCAGCATCTGTTCATCCATCAATTTGGCATCCTTTGTGCGAGATTGGAGTCTTGATCTACTAATATTAGTGACCCAGGCCAGGTCAAAGTGGTCAGCCTCTAGAAAATATGACCACACGCAACTTTTGAGTGGGTCACTGCCAATTATTAAAAAGTGGGGTAGTAGTAGAAGGTAATAGTATTGATCTATATTTCAGATCTTGGAAAAACGCAGGTCATTGACCTGAAGTCGGGTCAATTTTTGCTATTTTTCGTAAATGATGCAAATTTGTGCGCGTTTTTGCGTAGTTTTGGAGTTACAGATGAGGAAAAGAGTAATAACCTGCATGCGCCACCATCAAATGATCACAGAGCACATGGCCTTGGCCCAGATCATGATTTATGTCTGTGGGTACCTTTTTGGTAAAACACATGCTGAGCTCAAACTAGGCGGTTTTGCTAAGTAATTTTGGACGCAGAAATGAAAAACTTCACTGAAAACATGTTGATATATAATTGCAATGCATAATGTGGTTACAATAGATCATACAAGGTCATAGGAGGCTATCTAAGGTCAATGACTCACGTTACCAGTCGCGGAAAGGCTAGATGAATGAATGCGACCGTAAAACCACCTACCTTTCGTGTTTGTCTGTGAAGCTGATGGCGTCTAATTTTGTGCGCCAGCGTACATGCTCTCAGTCTATTACAAATATGTTTCGAGTGTCGAAGGGATTTGTGTAATACAGACAATACCTACGCGATCTTGAGCAGATATGAATGTCCCATACGCTGTTTCTGATCACAAAAAGTGCTATACTGGTCACATAGACCCAGTTGGCCCTTCAAAATGTTTTATCGGGATGGTATATATTTGATTTAAGTTGGGTTCAGCTGTTCTCTAGATCACCTGAAAATGGTATTTTGGTGTCTGGAATGCTATTATCCCACAGCTGCACAGAATAAAATAAATTTAACCAGACGGAGATTGTGAAGAAAGGCATCGTTCTTGTAGGCTACTGGTAAACCAATTTTGAGCGGTGATCTGATTTGACTTGACGCATGTGGGGCCATGTCGTTAATATCTATTGTAGTGTGTTAACCTAGGTTTTGACCGTCTGCATCGGAACGATCATCTGTGACCTTTCATCGCCTCTGGGACATTACATTTGGCCTAAGGTCAAAAATTTGGGATGAATTGTTAATGATTTGATGGGACCTTCAAAACGACATCTCTCTTTTTCTTATACGGCGCCTGGAAGTTTGAGATCCCAGGGGAAAGTCCCCCCCCCCCCCCCGGCGGGGCGCGGTTGTCTCAGACCCCCAGCCGGGCGCAGGAGGTTATTAATGACAGAACGCCGGTTCAACTCGTTCGTTGTATTTACTGTCTTGAAAAAATGAGCTGCAGCCATCGAATACACAACTTTTCTAGGCGGTTCGTGACCCATGTTTTTGAAAATAGCAACAAACCGTAACGCCTCTTTCGTCTGGTTAAGAAATGTTTAAACGCCATCTTTCTTATTGATCCTGGAGCGAGCTTTGAGGTACAGGTGGTTTAGGAGTGAGTGATCTACCTATTTATTTACTTCTTGGCATGTGATAAATTAATATGAAAATATCAATTTCAAGGATGTCCAAGTTTTCTGGTGTCTGGCTTCTGGCATATTTACTGTTACAAGGTATGCCAGAAACCAGAATTAATGTTTTATTACGCAGGGAGATCGACTCTTAACACGCGCACGGATGGCCGGCTAGATACCCTTCGCTCGGGTAGGAGGGTCAATTTGACTACCCCACCAAGATCTCTGGAACTAAGAAAGCTAGAGACACAAAATTTACAGGGTGTATTGGCCTGTACGTGAAATCACTTAGGTCAAAGTTTATGTTCCTTGTTCATGACATTCGGGCCAAAAAAGGTCAGACAAGGTCAAGTTACAGGCTGGCCTCCAAAGTGTCCCCAGAACCTAGATAACCGTTTCTAAGCAGAAAGTCTCATGGTCATTCAAGGTCACAGGTTTGTTTTGACCTTGGTGTGACCTTTATAACTGACCTTAGGTTGATGCAATCGAGATAACAATAACACAAATGAGATAACGCAACATACTGATCCAATAAGGTAGATAACTTGGAGAAAATCTCCCTGCGTCACAATGGTAACGATTGGGACCCGGTCCACGCACGCCCACGTACGATTACGATTATCACTCGGGGCTGCATAACATAGCTGTTTTCATGAAAACATTCCATTACATTATAAAGATCACTTAAAATGCGTAATATGGTGGAGATGTTTATGTCAGATGTGATACCGTTTGTTTGAAAGGATCCCTAATCACTGAAAAATAGCATATTGACCGCAGATGAACCGTGGTGTCTTAGGACCGTTGTCATGTAGTGATAATGTCCAACATTAGACACAGCTTAATAAATTACGAACTGTTCAGGGATGAGGGGCTCAACCGGAATCGCTTCCCTCCTGCTCACCCAACTAACCTGACCATCGGGTGGCCTGCCGCGCAGCGGAACGCCAAGAAGAGCTCGGCGGCGGCTAGTGAACTGGGTCTGGACCAGGTGGGCGGCGTGTTCGTGGTCCTGCTGGCCGGCATGGCTGCTGCCTGCTGCATCGCCATCTGCGAGTTCATCTGGAAGTCCCGTCAGCTGAACCAGGCGGCACATGTCAGTACGAGTTGAGGACCCGGGCAGGAGGGTGCAGCTTGATGGTGTCTTTTCTCGCCTGATGCCACAGGCGTAGGAAGGTTTCAATACGTGGGGGGCAAGCTCAGGGTGTACCTCAGCATCTTCCTCTGGAAAGCGAGCCCGATGACCTGGGGGGGGGGGGGGGGTTAGGGATGGAGATTGTTATCGCTCTTTATTCAAATGGCATGGCTGCCATGCTAGATATGCATCTAGAGCTGCTTCTCGCTGGTGCACAATCTTGCTTATTCGACTCGTCTGTCATTTGCCAAATAAGGCTATCCACCTTTCCAAGATCATTCGTCCACTTTAATATCGTCTTTCCCGGGGATGCAAAATTCCACCAGCGGGCAGGCATTTTGGGTCATCGAGGAAGCATCCGCCTTCACAGTGTGGACGCCAAAATACGGTCCGGATATAGGCTGATGAGAATTTTGAAAGTGGATCGATGGCTTGCAGTGCGACAGATGTGTCTGCTCCTTCATTTCGCAAGCTGCTTTTCAAGAGATAAAACTTGCAGCAGAATTTTAGTCGGAAACAATATCTGACACTTGAAACTGTTAGAAACAATGTTACAAAAGCCGTAAGACTGATGATTCTCTTTTAAGAACTAAGCCACATGATGAGGCCCATCTGTCATATGTTCCCTATCTGGACCCTGCTCCTGTCGCAGTCGGTGGCCACTGCCCTGGCCCGAATGTCTCCCGCATGGCTGACTGCAAACTGACCGTATGGCTGCTTTGCTGCATACTTTTGGATCAGCTTTACTGCTACATGGCGTATGAAACATGTGTTGAACACCTGCAACAGCATCTTTTTCTGAATTATCTCCCCTGACACCACACCATCGCAGAAAAATAGCCTCCGGGAAGTTGTCTGCCTTAGGAATGAATTGGCCCAACGGACACTTCATTGCACATCATGGAACGTATAAGACTTGATCTGCTTTTGCGTGTAGGCAGGGGCGTAGCCAGGGCTTGCCAAGAGGGAACACGAGGTTGACAAAAGCCTATCTTAAGGTGATCCTCAGAAATCCCGGGATATAGCTTGCTTGTTAACAAGCGACACCGTTTTCTTTGTTTTATGGTTGTTTTTGTCTTGTAACCAGAACAGAAACCAGAAGCTACCGTGAGCTCAATTTTGTTTGTGTTTTGACGTCAATAAACTGCAGAAATCAGGCGATGAACCACTGCATGGAGTAAATCACCGGTGCTCTTAATTTACAATGGTTAGTTGACTCTTTCTAAGCCGATATAATTCAGAAGCTTTGTCAGAAGTTTTTGTCCGGGTTCCACAGACATTGAGGACATTGCGAAGGTAGATTGTAGATCGATATGTTTGATCCAAAGTTGAAGGTGAAAATTTGATTGTAGATCGAGTGGTCAACAATGTGCATTAACATGGCCAAGCCATGTTTGTCTGAAAATGTATACCATTCAGCCAAAATCGATCACTGATACAATTTGTTTCACGTGTTTTTTAATACGCGCTCGCAAATCTTAGAAACAAGAATCCTGACAGTTGCAGGCGTCTTCATGGCCCGCTGACCGTTAGCCCAGTGGCTAACTTTTAGCCGTGGCCCCTCGGTGGACAAAAATGATGACGCTTCTGTATTGACTACCTTTAAACACTTTAATCGGCTAGTAATACCAGTTGTGTGACGTAATTTTGAGTATGCGCACTCGAAAATCCTAGAAATACAAGCCTCGACCCCAGGCGTTGCAGTCTTCGTAGGCCGCGCGGCGTCGGTCTAGCAACTAATACTAAGTTGTGGCCAACGGGTGGACGAAAATGACGACGCTTCTGAAAAAGTATCCTTGAACGCTTCATGACATCAGTTCCTACATCTAGAGGACAGTCTGTGTGCATATTTCACGTGTGCAATTTTTTGACTGACGAAAAGAACGGATTGGCCCTTAAAGCACCGCGAAGTGGAGCTGGAATGTGGTGGTTGAACTGAGAGAGTGAACGTAGAATCACTATTTTTCGTGTTTTTGCAGCCATTTATCTATCCAGAAGACATATTAACACGGCGCCCGCCGTCTGGTCGCACTTGCAGTGACCGAAACTTTTTGGTTTTACGGAAGATGCAGCCCAGACCATCCTTGTGCTTGCCCTCGAGGTTGCGGGCTGGCATGCTCAAGCCTTTTGATGTAATTTGTTTCAATAATGCATTCTGAAAAATGAATGTTCTCAGGCAAACATGGCATGACCCTGCTCATTTTTTAAGCTCATGTCGACCCACCCTATTCAACAATAATGAGACCCCCACTCTAATCAACAATAATGAGACCCCTTATCTCCTTCGGGGCAAGGGATCTCTTAAGTAGAACACCAGCGGTATATTAACGTTTTCGTTCAAGGGTTGAAGGGCCATTCCGTCCGATCGCAAAGTGTTTTCTGGCTATCATTCTGGTAACACGGAGCGGGATCTCAAGGTCGATCCAGAGGCCAAAGCACAGGAACCCTCACTGACGCAACAACATCCCTGATCACGGCAGGTAGTCCAATAATTGCCACATAGACCCCAGTTCCGTGTTTTTCTGTGTTCTTCAGAGATATTGAGTTCTCCCTGACCGTACCTTGTAAATGAAATGGGGTTCCTAATTTGTATTAACATGGCTAACCCATGTTTGTCTTAAAATGCTCAAGATCCTGTCCGAACTGATAACTGATACGAAAACTACGTAATATGGTGATGAACATGCACGCTTGCAAGTCATAGCAACAACAGCCTCGACGGCCGGCGTTGCAGTCTCCAGGCCTTGAGGCGTCGGCCTTGTCGCTGTAACACTAAGTGATGGCCAAAGATGGCTGGTGAACTAGGCAAATTGACGTGCGTGTTTATTGTAGTGCAAAAGTAAGCCAAATGCAGCCTTAATATGAAAAGTGGGGGGGGGGGCAGTTAATATTGCTGCTTCCCCACTTTGAAAAGTGGGGGGCCATGGCCTCCGCTGTTCCTACGCCCATGCCTGATGCATGTTCCTACATTTGTTTGATGTTCACACTGCGTAGGGCGAAGAAAAGCTGCAAATGGATGGCTGCAGCTGACTGATGTTTTTCGGAAAAATAGACTGAGCGACCTTATGACCTCTCGAACAATGGTCATAGTCACCAATGGAGTATGGCAGCATGCAGTTCTGCGCATGGAGGCCGTCACATCAGAGCCGCTCTCAGCCATTATATTGAGCTTTTGTTACATAACGTAGTGCGCTCGTTGCTTGGCCTTGAACGACTGAGCTCCGAACCGTAAAAACTGAACACCTGAGTTCTGAACACTGATAATTCAGCGCGGGTGTCAATCGACAAATTGGGTCTTCGCTCTTGGAGCTGAGTACATGCCATGGAGACTCATGTCGGATCGTCAACGCTCGGCTGAAATGTCTGAAAGAACAAATTACTCGACCATTACAGTTATGGCAACCGCAGCTGACAATCGAAGAAAAACAACGCTCCCTGCAGTATGAACGTGGCCGACTAACAGTTGTGGGGCTTGTCCACAGATGTCGCTGTGTGGCGAGATGGCACGGGAGCTGCGCTTCATGCTGCGCAGCCGGAGCTCCTCCACACCCATCCGGCGGCCTTCCCCGGCTATTCTCCCGGAAATCGATCTAAGCGTGCCATGCCCGTCTACCTAAACAACAGACTGCGCCCATCGCACCGGGCAGTGACAGTGCCGTCACATCACTGCATGCGCAGTGACGAACCAGACACCAAAGCCGTGTGCACAGTGACATGTACTTGCAACTTTGGAACCAATGAGATTGGTACACTGTGAGTCTGACCGATTGCAAGCGTTGAAGAAGAAGTGTGTTAGCTAAATACAGATGAAAGGTCGTGCCTGACGGCTTACTCCCCGTCTGCGCTCTCTCCTTTCAGTGGCGCCAACCTGCCTGTCGTCCAGCTCGTGCTGTCTGGTGCGTGGACGATGTTCTCATCGGTCGGGCAGGGAAGTCTCTCGAGCGATGCGGCCGTTTGGCACCGGACCAACGACGGACAGATCACTTGTCGCGTGCAAGTTGGTCCTTGGGGGCGAGCTCAGCGTGAGTTCAAGCAAAGATCGAGCAAATATGGAAGGCAGCAAACATTGCTGCCTGCCATGGTTGCAATTATCGAGATAACAAGGTTTCTCTTTTCACGAAACATTACCGATATTCCATGCAGCAATAACATATCGTACAAGATTCAGGGAGGATATACACTTACATATACGCACGACGATAACCATGCAGCAGAGATATCACGAACAGCATATTCCTGGACACAACATATGAATTCACACATTCGCACTCAAAGGTCCGGTTTCCAGATGTCTCCCATTGTATAACTCCGGTCATAACACCGCCATATATCACGGGAGCTAGAAAACCTGGACCAGAAATAGGCAAATGCATAGTGCATCGTCATATTTACCGAGACACACATCAGAGAAAACATGCCGCCGAGATTCAGGAGTATACATCATGCATCTAACCATTAAGTGTGACAGCGTTTTCGGGACGTCATCATGTTAGACACGTAAATACCTTTCTATCTTCGCATTGACCTGTCATGGGGTTTAGGTCAGCTGGCCCTGGCCGGTACCCTCGTTGTTTCAGGGACCACGATCAATGCAAGTTGGGGCCGGCCTTCTTCGTGCTTGGGAAATGGGCCCTCAGGGCTTAAACCGACATCTCGCCAAAATAGAAGCCCGCACTGTCCCGAGCGTCCTCCATCAATAAAAAAGGCCCTTGGCCTTACATTTGAGACTGCGGTCCTACGGCTGGAGGGGGAGGTGGAAGGGGGGGGGGTCCTTAACGCGACCCATGTCGGCCGCTTCCGCCTTCCAATCGAGCACTTGTTCTTCGGCCCTGAGGGGCACTTCGGCTTCTCTTCGGGCCTCCTGAAACAAAGCCCTAGACCAACCCGGGGCCACCTGCTGACACATGAGTCCCTGTAAGGCACTGTGGGCACCTGACCGACTCAGGACACCGATTACTGTTTCAGGGACTCATATCAATGCAAATCGTAGGCCCCGGCCTTGCTCCTGCTTTTGGGCACGGGCACCCAGGGTTCAGGACGACACGAAGCCAACTGCTCGGTGCTGGTGGTCTCTGGCCGACATAAAGGCCCTTATCGATTCAGGGGGTCCCTGAAGGTCGCAAAAGATTCTTAACTATCATTTGAGTTAACCCGATCCCGCAGGTCGGCGCCTCCAAATAAGAATCCAGTTAGTCGCCAGTGCCCTTAGGCCCGCCAATCGGGCCTTTGATCGTTGGTCCCGATGGACCCTCCAGGCTCTCTCCAGACCTCTACGAACGTCGCCTCTGGCCGAATCGGGTCCCTTACCAACAGTACCCCCTGTTTCGGTACTGTGGGCCCCTGATCAAAGGTGGGAGCCCCTACCAACATAAATCGCTGGCCTCGGCTTTGTCCCTGTGTGGGAAAGGGACCCTCAGGCACATGCCAACACGGAGCAGACTGCGGTGCCGGTGCTGTCTGACCGAAAGATAAGCGCTGATCAGCTCAGGGAACCCTGATTGGCGCACAGGGCTCTCTAGCTGGCATTGGTGTGCCCGGCTCTGCGGGCTGAGCCAGTGAAATGTGACCTCCAGCCGGCTTTTCGGGCCCTTTGGGCTCTCAAATCGGGCCCTTAATCACCGGTCCCGAAGAGCCCGACCTCCGACCCCCCCTCCCCCCTCGCATCCTGCCTGCACCACTGTACCGGACACTGCGATCTTGGACGTTTTGATGGCCCTCCGTTGTCTTTTTGCGGATCCTTGCATTGAGACTTGGTATGCTATGGTATGCTATGCTATGCTCATAATATTAATAGAATGTATGCTTCACTGCTTTCCGATCTATGTAACATAGAGACATCGCATACAAGCGTCACAATGTTGCAGCGTGAGCAAGCGCCCGTGTAAGACTGCATGTTTACCCGGTAGTCAGACCACACGTTCGACAAGGCACACTTACTGCTTTTGAAGGCGCCAGTAACAGTTTTTCGTTTTGTTTACACACCATGTATATGAGCACCGATCAGAAGCAGCACACCATCGCACCCACAAACATTTGAACTACCATCTTTCAACTGCCGTTTTGCTCTTACGCTGTCTGCAGCCGCAGACAGATCATCAGCTGACATCTGAAGGGAAGCCCTTTACTAGTACTCAACACCTCCACCAGGTTTCCCCATCCTTTGGGTAGTGCTTGATCCTTGTTGTGAAGTTTTGCTACACTCTTCTGGATCTTATATTCGCTGACAGTATTATTGCAAAATCCATGGACTCTAAGCGGGTTTCCTGTTTTGATGCCTCCCAGGTGTGAAGTAGCCGCTGGAGTTTAGGAACATGGCCATCCCTGAAAGTGGCGGGGTCCCTGGAACAGACAGTCCAGTCTATTCTGTCAGCTTAAAAGGCTCGCAAGACTTGAAAACATCCAACCTTGGACTCCCGAGGTAGGGGTGTCACTTTTTAAAATTAGTTGACTGGGGAGGGGAAAGCCAGCTGGTAAGGCCCACCGCAGGGGTGAAGTTCCCTATGCAGTTGGGGGAAGGGACAGCCCGAGGCTGGGGTTCCATCCCCCCCTCCCTCCAACTTTGAGCGAAATCGGGCTAAATCCTGGGAGAAAGCCATGTGTTGGTGAATTTTGGAGAAAGGCTTCATCATTTTTCACGTTTCGGCTCCCGAACTCATTTTGCGACACTACGCCGTTGGTTCACCCAATGACCAAAACCTGGGATTTCCAACGACTTCGGGAATTAAAATTTCCGTTCCAAATGTCAACTGCTAATTTTTTCGCAAAGTATTGAAAATAAAAAGCTATTTTGTGGAATAACTTTGTGCTTTTCTCCGTTGTCGTGTTTCCGTCTCATTTACTCCCATCGCATTTCTTATTTCATTCTCATTCTAACCCATGGAAAGCGGCACCTTGCAGCGAGATGATAATGCGGTCGCGCTGTCGTGACATTACAAGAGGTCAGAGTGCAATGAAAGAATGGATATTTCGTAAACTAAGAAGTACTGGAAAAGCGACGTCACCAAGCAAGCTATAGTGCAAAGGTCAATTAATGGGGGCGCATAGGGAGAGCTGTTAGTTTTTTCTCCGAAATCCCTCCTGCTAAAACTAGCGAACACAGGACTGATGTTCTTCGTTCGAAGAGCACTTCTTCGTCTTTTATTAAATGACTTCTAAATGACTTCCTTCCAAACGGGACAACTTGCCCCAGTCCGGGGTAAACCGCATCACATGGTGGGGACGGCCGTGCCTATGTTATTTTCGTCACAGAGGGTCGCACCATAAGCAAGCTGTGTGAGTTGCAATATGATAACCAAACAGGCTTGTCGGTGCTTTATCGCGACTCGTCGTAACTGCGTCACCACAAATGTCAGCCCTTTTTATTTATCACTGCTTATTTTACGACTACTGCCACCTCGGTCTCGGTTGCTCAGGTGTTTGACAATTCACCGGCTGTACATAGGCAACGCAAATGCCAACTTCTGGATTCAGTGGAAACTACGTCAGCCGATCATCGACAGATAGTCAGTGACATATCGTGGGTACATTGTATCACTGGTACATGCCCCACGCACAGGTGATGTGCATGTTTCCCACATGTTCCTCCCGAAATCCTGGAATGAAGTTCGCGCCACACCGAAATCCTTGGCAGGCGGACGCCAAACGTTTTGCAGTAAACACGACACGCGTACTTCCCCATTACCCAGTAAAGCAGACCAGTTTAATTACGCGGTAGCGTTCTGTCTCGGGACTAGTTATCTGCACATCTGAACATTTGGTAACCGAGCTTTCCAGCGAATGGCCTCTTCACCTTCATTCGGTGCTGTTTTGACAAATGGCTTGTGGTTTCCGAAACGCCTGAACGTTTTCACCAATGTACTTCAGCGTTTTATGTATTTCAACCCGAACATAGCTTTGCATCACGAAAGACTTCGTCGAAATGCGACATCAACGCAAAACTTAAAAACAGCGTCATGCGGATTCAGTTACACGGCTCATTTATTAGCCTTATTAATGGCTCAAATTATACCGTCCATCATTCACTAAAATAACCAGCCTACATTATAACTTATAACGGCCTTAATTACAGCCTCAATAACGGCCCAAATATTGAGCACGGGACTATGCCAGGTCTTCCTTACCGAGTGGTGTCGAGTTTGACATACAACGCCTCATCGGGGCACTGTCGCGGCGGAGGTCGCTACTGCTGAAGCTACCTGCTCACGAACTGTTGTACGCAACGCCACAGCAAACAAACGTAACAAACGCAAGCTGCCGCGAACGCTCGCGAGAGCTTGACCTTGAAAAATCTAGCACGTGACATGCCTGCTTTAGCAACGCTCTTAGATTTACAGCACTGAGATCTGACCAATAACAACTCGCAACATGGTCGCCGTCGGTGCGACTCGCCGTTCGCCCTTCACACCTCGGGACGTCACGCCGCGCCGTCCTCGTCCTCGTGCAGCAGCACGAAATCGATGGTGACGGGCACCTGCAGCTGGCGGTCGCTGCCAGCCAACTCGGCAGCCCAGGCCTCCATCTCGGCCGGGCGTGGCACTACCCGGTCGCCGTAGTAGTCGAGGGCCTGCAGCTGCGGCCGGTCTCGCACCACCCGCTCCACCACCACGTCCTGGATGTCGGAGCACTGTTCCAAGTTGAGGTAGCGCAGCTCGGGCAACCACTCAGGGATGCGGTTGAAACACTGGCCCGTTATTCGCACCACGCCCACCAGGTCCAGCGCACGCAGGAAACTGAGCCGCGAAACGATCTTCTCCAGGCCGACATCCGTGATGTCCCAGCACCAGCTGAGCGCCAAGAACGTCAGCAGAGGACAGTTAGCCGTGACCGCGTCCACCGTCGAGTCGTCAACATTTGAGCACTCGCTGAGGTCCAGGTGCAGCAGGCGCGGCATGTTCTCGTCTAGGAAGAGCCTAGCCAGCGCCGTGGCGCTCAGCTGGTGGCCGCGCCGGATCTTGAGCCGCAGCAGGCCCCGCAGGCCACCAAGCGCCGGCAGGCTGGCGTCCGTCATACCGTCCGCGAACGAGATGCATAGCACCTCGAGCTGCCGGCAGCCACGGCCGATGCCGCTGAAGGCGGCGTCCGACAGGTTCTCGCCGTCTAGGACCAGCGAGGTGAGCCGCGCGCCGCACTGCTCCACGAGGTCCAGCACGGCGCCGTCCGTCAGATAGCCGACGCCGTCCACGTTGAGCTCCTGCAGGCGGCGGCAGGCTCGCGCCAGCTCCGCCACCTCGGCGTCCTCCAGGCGCAGGCAGTGCGACACGTTGAGCGCCGTCAGCCGACCGAGACCGGTCAGCGCCGACATGCAGCCCGGGTCGTCGAAGCGCGAGCCCTCGAAGTTGATGCGCCCGATGTCCGGGCAGTGCTTGACCAGCACCTCGAGCAGTACGGAGCTGAGGCCGTTGCAGAAGCGGGCGGTGAGCGATCGCAGCTGCTTGCAGGTGTCGGCCACCTGGAAAAGAATCTTGTCGACGTGGCGCCGCGCCTCCAGCCGGAGCGATTTCAGCAGCGGGCTGAAAGACAGGACCCGCACCACCCCGTTGGTCGAGATGACATTATCCGCTTCGAACGACAGGTGCTGCCACAGCGTGGGGTCCTTGCCGATATGGTTCCACTCCTTGCACACGCTGAACACGATCGTGCACAACTCGCGCGGCGTCAGGAATGAGAAAATGTGCAGCTGGATCTCTAGCGGCAGCAGCTGAAAGGGGAATGGCTCTGCGGGTTCCGGCGGCGAAGGCACGCCGGCCGGCACCCTTGTCTGCAGCCACTGAACCAGCTGGAGCTTCTCCTCTTCGCTGGCGCCATCCAGCTTCATCATATCGACCGTGTGCCGGCAGAGCAGCTCCAATTGTGGGTCCACTGCGCTCGGGCCTGGCTCGGTCGCCGCCGGCTGGCTGGTCCGCGCCGCGCAGTCGGCGCAGCGGCAGGGAGGTGGCGGTGGCGGCGGCGGTTGTGCTGGCGGCTGCTGCGGCGGCTGTTGGGGTGGTTGCGGCGACTGCGGCGGCTGCGGTGGTTGCGGCGGCTGCGGCGACGGCTGCTGCTGCTGCGGCGGTGGCGGCTGCCGAGGTTGCTGCTGCTGCGGCGGCGGCGGTGGTGGCGGTGCGCAACGCGGTCCGGCTGCCACCTCGCCCTCCTCGGCGCGCGCACACTCGACACTCACGTCCTCGCCGACGCTGTGCTGGCCGAGACTGTGCTGGCTGGGCGTGGGCCGTTCGCCTACGCTTAATCGGCTGTGGGAGTCGCGGGCACCATCCGACGTCACCTGGCCCTCGCTCAGCACCCGCGAGGCCGGCTGCTGAGGTCGCGACGAGCTCACGTCCAGGTTACCGCCCGAGCCAGAGACGGCCAGGCCCGGGGAACTGGCGCGCCGGCCGCCAGCTCCCCCAGTGACGAACTCGGTGCTGACTCCAGCTGACGGTCTTTGTGGTGATGCAGGCGATCTTGCGGCGCCAGTCGTGGCATCCTCAGAGGCAGACAGGCCTTCATTTGCTTCCATGGATTGTTGTGAGATGGACCTAGCTGAAGCAGACCTCACCTAGCTGACACTTCACAGGTTTTGGTGCTGTTGCATGGGTGTTGACCTGGCTGGCCAGGTCAGCCAGGTCTTGGCTATTCATTGCTTCATGGCTCCTAACAGAAATGAAGTTGTTTTAATGCGGCACATCTCAATAATTTATCTTATTAGATGACTAAAACCAGGATGACACCTTGTGCAGCACTAACCAAACAAACTGGTCATGCGCCTGAACACTGTCATTATGAAGACAGCACCAGAAGCTAACAGGATAATGCCAAGCAATTCTGGCATATCATCTAAATGGGCATTGTTATCAAATCGTGAATCACAATGTCAATGTCAAAGTCAGACATCATACTTTGAAATATCTTACCCATCATAGTCTACAACACAGGTTCACCTCACAGGCAGCACCACTTGCTGATTACTGGGGAGGGGAGATTTGTTCACAATGGTGACTGCAAGCTTTAAAAAAATGGTCTACTGGAATGAGATATGATGATGCTTTTGCGTACACAGCCTCCACTAGATCCTGGTTGGTTCCATCTTTGCATTGACTCATTAATACAATGTGGCATCTGTATGCTGCCTGACTACATCAAGCACACTATCTTGCAGCATTATAGGTCCTGTGCTTGTAATGGCCCCATGACCACCTGTGCATATACCATGGAAGGCATATACAACCTGTGCTTAGTGCTATACCAAAGTTAGCCCTTTTGTGGACAGAAAAGATGCTTTTTCCAATATCTTTGGTCAGCTTATAAAGCTTGAGCAATAACAAACAGCTGCTCACAGAAAGCAATTTCAGCCTTTCAAGCAGGCACAAGAAAAAAATCAGGTTTTCACTCCTGGCTGGAACTTCATATGCATCACATGAAGCTGTTTCCAGCAACATTTCCTTATCATGAAACTCTACATGCTCATATTTTTTTTATAGGTCTCCTGTCATGATGTAGGAGGGTACTCAATAACCTCGGATTACCTTGCCTAGAGATAACCCAGCACCTTTGTTTGTAATATTCCATGAAACAACATTATTATGGTTGAATAGAACAATTAAGATTTCTTCTGACATTGTTTTAAATAATGTGCAGTGCTCAACATTCATGGACATGTTTGGATCATACTGATAATTCAAATGATTCACATTTTCCAAACAATATGCAAAAGACCCGGTGTCACGAGGGAATAGATACCCCAAGGGAATATCCCATGATGCGAAGCGGCTCAGCGAAACAGAAGATAAGAAATTAATACTTTTAAAACCAATGTATAGCCATGCAAACCCCAGTCAATCCCATTTCGAGGGCAATATCAGATAGAGCACAATACTCAACGCCCCAACCCCAATACGCACCACACTTGGTAACAAGGTAATAGGGCACTGCACAGCACTGGGCGCATAGCCTTCGCTGCGTGCTTCCCAAGGCTCTGGAGCTGGAAGTATAATCGTCTGGCCGTATTGCGCTGCTTCGGCTGATGATGTCACAAAAATACTCGGCCTATGACGGTGAACGGCCGATGCATACTTAGCCCAGTTGGCTAAGCTCTTGAAAAGAGTTTAAGGCTGCAAGCCTTTAAATATTTTTGGTCAAAATATAACTAGACTATTTATTCTCCGAGCAGGCCATACCACCAGTTCCAAAGCTTGTTTTCCTCCAGCCGAGCCTCTAGATGAAAATGTATACGTCTCGCGTTGCTGGCTAGCGCGCCGCGCCAGCCATCACCGTGAAATTCCACATTGCACCAAACGGCCGGACAAATGCATCATGGTTCCGTTCTACGAACACTTGCTGCCGTCCACTTCACGCTATGGGTGTGCGGGCCCGGAAGAGTTCGCTTAGCGTTCATCGCAGAGCAGCCTCGGCACAGCGCACCAGGAAGGGAGACATGTGCTCACTGCACATATATTTTATGTGTATTGCCTCGATCAAGCAGCACTCGACTTAAGCAGGCTACCGCCTTATCTTAAACCTAGTTACGTGTGCCTTGGGATTTCCTTGACCAAATGAACAGCAGTCAAGCATATTTTGCACGAGTCAAATTTCTGTGTGCAGAAATTTATAAAGACAGAGAAATTCATCGTAAAAACCGCGGAATCCCACCCTCTTTGATCCCCCCCCCCCCCCCCGAAGAGTCTACCGCAGAGAGGCGACGGTGCGGAGCGCCCCGAACGACCGAGCTCCGCAGCTTACGCTGGCATGAAACGAGCTTTTCCAATGCGCACGCGCACCACCCAGCTATAGCCCTGGAACATCTGATTCGAAGTTCTCCCATCTCTCAGTGGTCAGCTTAGGCCCAGAGGCGGCGTATCTGAATTTAGGGTAGGGAGGGGGGGGGGGCAACGACTTAACGAAGGCCCCTCAAATCGATGGGCCTGTACATTGTGGTACAGGCGTGCAGCCAGAACCTCGGCAAGAGAGGGGCACAGGGTTAACAAAATGTCCCTGATAGTACTTACCGCCCTAAAAAAATGCGGCCGATTTGTTAGTGAGGGCGTGAATTCGTGTCTTTAATTTTCACCCTCTATAACTGAAATATAAGCCAGAAGGTACTGCGAGATCACCTTTGCTTGAATTCTACAGATAATCAACTGAAGAAATCATACGTTAAACGACTTGATGAATAAATCATCGGCCCTCTTCGTTTTACAGTAGCCCAGTGGCCTTTTTTGCAAACTGACAGAACTAAGAAGCTTTGTTAGAATCTTACCTCGGCTAAAGACCCTGCGAATGTAGATCGAAATGGAGGAACAAAATGCATCAACATGGCAAAAACCATGCTTGTCTGAAAATATTTAACATTCAGTCAGAAATGATAAGTGATACAAATAACGTAACGTAGTATTGAGCATGCGCGCTGGCTAGGGCGTGGCAGTTTCCTTAGGCCACGCAGCGTCGGTCCCGTGGCTTATATCAAGCCGTGATAACAGGTGAACGAGAATAATGGCACAGTTGATAAAGGTACCTTCAAACGGCTTGGGACTGCAAACCGCATATTTAGAAGGAAGCCGCGCGTTAATGTCACCTGCGCGATTCTCAGATTAATGAATTAAATGAACTGGCATTTACAGCGCCGTGGTGCTGTGGAAGCCAAGGCCAGGCCAGCACCACTTCGTGCGTAAAGCGGTGTTAGAATCTGGTGATAGGACTGGAGGGTAAGGGTAGAATCTCTCCTTTACGTGTTGATCTAGCTGTTAATTTGTCCAGAGGACATTTTTAAAGCTGTGAAAAGGATTTACCCAGCCTAACCTTTGAACGGAGCGAATAGGTTTTCCAAGACATTCGAAAGTATTATTCCACGACGGTTGCTCTTGCGTGCAGGTCACCCGTCGCCTGGTGTTACTTGCAGTGATCGACACCGTTCGATTTTACAGAAGCTGCAGCCCAGGCTATCGCTGTGCTTACTTGCGAGACAGCAGTTGCGCAGGTTCAAACCTTTTGATATTTTGTTTCACTTGTCGATTCAGGAAAAGAATAAGCGTTCTTAGGCAAACGTGGGACGACCTCCCTCGTTTTTTTAACTCATTTCGACCCACCCTTTTCAGGACTAATGAGACTCCTTATTTGTTTTCGGGGCTGCCCCCCTTGAAAAAGAGTACCAGGGCACATTATTTTTTTCAGTGAATGGCTAAAGGTTCAATCCGTCCACCGCGGGATGTCTTCTGGCAGCCATTCTGGCGACACGGGACCGGATCCTCTGGCCGATCGGGAGGCCCTTAGAGTAATACATGAAATCGCATTGGTCCCTAAAGCGGGGGCCTTCTGACCTGCGCAGATCGCAGTTGATCCCGGATCGACGCAGGAACCCCCACTGACGTAACAACATTCCTGATCGCCGAGGGCGGTGCAATAATTGACGCATAGACCCCAATGCGGCTTGACGGGCCCATGCTGGAGTTGGGATGGAGGGCCCACCGTACGGTACTGGGGACCATGACTGGCACAAGACCTTTCCATTACCTCGAATGTGAACAATCACCATAAGCTGTCATGCTTTCTTTCATTGTCAGAGGGCCCGAGCAGCGCAAGAGGCCCTCTGCGCTCGGAGTTCCTTCCCCGTCCCTGTTGAGTACATCTTTTTCTGACCGATCCGAGGCCCCTCGTTGGCACAGAATACCTTGTTTGGCAGGGGCCTGACCGATGCAACTTGTAGGCCAGGCCGTGTCCCTGCTTGGCAAATGGACTCCAAAACTCAGAGCGACACGGAGCCGACCGTTAGGTATTGGTGAATTCTGGCCGGGACAGAGGAATACTCTCCTTCAGGAGTCCCCAATCATACAAGAGGCTTTATAACGGACATTAACGGACACGACTCTACGGGCGGGTGCCCTTAATGTCACCTACAGCAAGGCCTTTTGGCCGTCTAGCCTTCCAATCGGGCCCTTGATCTTTGGTCTCAAGAGACGCTTCGGCTCCTTTTCGGGCCCCTTCAAAACCGCTCCCGGCCCACTCAGGCCACTTGCCGCCACACGACCCCTGTTAGGCACTGCGGCCCCTGGCCGACAAAGGACCCCCTCATTATGTCAGGGGCCACGAGCATTGTGGATCGCGGGCCCCGGCCTCGTTCCTGCTTCGGAAATGGGTCTCAAATGTCCATCCGGACATGGAGCCGACTGTTTGGCTCCGTCCTGAGGCGTTATATAATAGAGATGGGTAAATAGAACTCCTATATAGAACGTATATAGAACCTATGTATTACCTATATAGAACTCCCATTCAAATTTCGACCCGCCGCCGAGTTGGGCCGCATGTCGGTGACCTCCAAATGTCTTCGCTACGGTGCCGCTGGCAGCCTCCAACCGAGGGAGCTGTGTGGGCGTCAAGTCAGAACCGGGTGGCAAGGAGGCAGGCGGTAATACGCTGACTTGTGCACCAGTGTCCACTAGCAGCGCCCGACCAAGCCGGCTGTCTTCGACAAAGAACAAGTGGGCTAGCGGCAGTTGGCCTTAAGTTGCGGGCGCGAGCGGCTTCAGGCCTGCCCGTTTTCGGCATCGGACTTCCACAAGTAGGGCTGAAGACAACGACAGGCTTCGGCCCCGAAGCGCTGGTGGTGGTAGCAGATACGGCCCACCGCCGGCGAGGCGCCGTCTCGATGTGGACCGCGGTTGGCGGTTCCAGTCAGCTGTGGGTCCGACCTGCTGCGTCCGGCTTACAGCGTTTTCCAATCGCCGATTCGACGTCTCCAGTCCGCAAACCACACCTGTGAGGCTGGCGATGGCTTTATACAGGTCTGGCTGACCGGTGGACAGCGACATGGGTGGCTGTGCGTCGGGTTGCAAAAGCAAGAAGTTGATGACGACGGCGGCTGCGGGGCGCGAAGCTTCGAGAAAATGATCGGCCACCTGAGCCAGATCGTCCCGGGATGTTGATTCTGGCAGTGATAGGCGCAAGGTCAGATCTTGCTTGTTTTGTGATCGATCTGTGTATAACATTGATAGAAAGTGTTGGTATGTGTTGATGATAGGTAGATATAAGACATATACATTCAGCTGCATGTTACCCAGTTCGAATTAACTATTTAAAATAAGGAGCAAATAAGTTATGAGCTATCCAAAATGCACGAGGGAATATTTATTTTTCGTACTAAACGTGTCTTAGCCCCCGCCCTGATTCGCCATTTTTCATGACGCGGACTGTTAAGGGAAGGGGAAGCATGTGACCCACTCCCTGGCGTTTCCAAACTAATGAAGACAGAGCTTACTGGAAACGCCGGTGGATCGGTCTCAACGAGACCTCACAATTAGCCCTAGTTTGTATGTGCTTAGGTCAATAATTGGTACATTATGGTAGGTCAAATGTCGAATTTCCAAATGTCGAAATGTCGAAATGAAGAAAATCGAATTTTTCAGCTTTACAGCATCACGTCTACGAAACCATGTGTTATGTCGACACGAAACTTAAACAGGTGTGTGCCTTGTTCAACTTGTAGAAAAAAGGTGGACAATTCATTTGTTTCAAGCACACATTTCTGATATATGGCCACAATATCGTCACGCCGCGCGTGTTCCGCGGCATCGTAAGCTGACACGCGCCGCTCGCGCCGGCCGTAGATCGCCGTGCAGTGTTTCTCACAAACCACCGCTGCTCCGGAATCAGATAAGCTAAAAATACGCTGTCGGTGTCAAAAGACGCTCAATAGATGCCTCATGTGATACTGAAAATATGGGCATGATTTCACAAAATGCCGGAATGGATCCTGAAAATACCGTGGGGGTTGCATCAATCCCCGCTCCTACCAGGGCGAGGGCTTAACTAGCCACGTCACCACCCGTTGCCGCCGTGTTGCGGTGTAGTATATTAACATATTTTAGTAGAGTTTTATGGCTTATCTACTAATATGGGACAAGCAAGCCTGCCCTCGATTCGGCTAGATAGAACGGCGCTTTGACAAGGCTTAAACAAATAATCACAATCTTAAAAAGTAAAAGACCCGTACGAGCGTGTGTGTATGCTGGAAAACGGGGCTTTAAGAAAACAAGATCAGGGAAGATAGCAATCCATCTTCACCTCGACTGGTTAAACAATGTTCAACTTGTCTTTCCCCCAGGGCCGTCCCCACACTTCAAACACTAGCTGCGTGCGTACATTGTGGCGCGTAAGACAAGACGACAAGTATTAAGACGTCTATATAACCTCAGCCCAAGTACGAGCATGGCGGGTTGGCGACAAACGTTGCTAAAAATTGGTGCCGAAACAACGACGGCTTTGTAAACGGGTTTGATTTCGGCATGATATTCATAATCATACGCAAAGAAGTGGCACAACTACCAAGCCAGATCACATTTTCGTCATGTTCTTCACTTTAGGCACGATAAGTAATGGTCTAGTCGTGTGAGTAGCCATACCCTGAAGTAAAGTTTCTCCTAACGCACCAGTTCAGGAGAGTAATGAGTAAATGACTTAAGTGCAATGTGGCACACGATTTGGAACGTCGCAATGTGATCACTTGAGTGGCGGCTCACCCGAGGAAGAGATCTGCTTGGCCGTTTGAAATTATATGAATCGCCACAGTGTGGGAAGGCTGTTTCAGAATGGTGAAAAGCCAAAACATGCCGCCATACCGAGGTCCGACAATCCATGCGATGTGGTCCTTTTATTCGATCAGTGGCCGTTTTCGGAATTGGAGCCTAGCATATCCATCGCTTTGTTTGGTGTGAGAATCAGATGGTAGAGTGACTTCTGCACCTCCACGCGTGTTAACAGCTCTATACGAGGCTGCGAGTCGGCTCATCCACCAACCCCGTTCCTTCGCGGCCCATTGTCGTGCGAGCCGGCTCATGCGCCTTCGTCGCTCTATCCTCCTGGTGCCCCAGGATGAATGCACCGACTTCCCTCCTAATTCAGCACAACCGCATGCTATTTTTAAGGCTGGAACTGCTGCGAGGCCGACAGCGTTGGCCCAAGTCCCACAGGTGCCCTGTATGGTGTGCCGCGTAGGAGAAATATGGTGGCGGTCAATACATGACAGCAACATGAACCTAGCCCCCAGACGTAAACTATGAGTATAGGACCGTCAAATGGGAGCTGAGCGACTGCACATCGAGCTGACCGGCGAGGACACGAAGAGACTCAAGACAGCAAGAACACGACGCTACCATAAAATAATCGAAGGTCTTAGCGCCGGGACACAAGCAACAAACCAGACACCTTTCGCTAGCAAGCGACACCACGTCTGGCCATGAGGACGCAGCCGACGGGCGCATCCTCCGCACTTTTGCACTTCTGTGCATTTGCCGAGCTGCCGCTCAGATCCGGCCGGCGGCGCGACCGGCCAGCGCGGCCAGAGCGAGCAGGGCTGGCGCGCCGGGGGTGGGGCGGCGGCCGGCGCCGGTGTGGCCGTGGTGATGGCTCAGACCGTGCTGCATCATCTCGCGCCGCCGCCCCATGGTCGAGTCGCCGCGCAGGCTGTCCAGGTCCTGGCTGATGCTGTAGATGCCGGCCTGCAGGCGCGGGTCGGGACTGTTGAAGTGCTCGGCCACGGCCGGGTCGGCCAGGTACTTGACAGACCAGGCGATCGGGTGCGTGCCGTCGCACATGGCCGGCTGGTACGTCAGCGCACCCAGCGAGCCCACCACCTCAAAAAACTCCAGGCAGCGGCAGCCCATTCTGCGGCAGGGAAAACAGCCGGTCGGAAAACGACTGACAAGCGAAGATCGTAGAACATGGGGGCACAGCATTTGCAATGAAGCTGTCAACCTTGCCATCATTAGTTCGAATCTCGCGCCATATACACTAACCCGCGCCAGGCCGGTCTCAGGCACCTTTGCTAAGTCATGGGGGGGGGGGCAGAGGAAGGGAGTCGTAAGCATGCCTCCTTACGATCACGGCGCTCTACATACGTAACACGAAAAAGTCCCGGCGGAAAGGGTTCACCGACGCACATCGAAAGCACTTAACCTCAGCTGTTTCAGTTGACGCAGATGATGCACACTAGTCCCGATGTTCCACCTGACGCTTTTGGGGGTGGAACTCAGATGTTACGCTTCACACTACACTTGACCAGCAAGTGTTTGACGTCAGGTGGACTTCGAGGTTACTGATTGTCATGGAAAATCTACGTACGTCTATGCAAAGTCGGGAATAAACAAAACACTTTAATCCGATCACAACGAATGTCAGCGGCAAACATACAATGCTAGGATTATGAGGAGTACCTTCACAACTGCCTTGAACATTCAGCACGTGTAAGGTAGGCCGACACGTTCCATCATCGGGCAAGTGCACAGATCCATTATTCTTATGGTCACATTTGAGATACTAAAGCGCTCATTCACACTTTATGTCACGATAAGAGCCGTGTGGTGCAAGTCGAGCAAGTACTTACAAAACACATACATTAGCCGGCAATTTGAAGCTCACCGTTGCATTATCTTGGTTTCTCAGGGTTCACGCAACGACTTCACCCCCAATTTTCACTGTGATCTCAACCTCGCACCACGGGTCCCTTTGAAATGACAAGATGTATTATGATCTCTGAACAAACTGGGGCTGAACTCCTTGGCAAAGCATATCAAGTGCGCAAAACACTGAGCAAAATTGGGCTGAACACCCTGGCAAGGCATATCAAGTGCGCAAAACGAAGTGATTAAGCCGCACAGATGGATTAGTGTACCGAATGGCATTTTAACTAAGATAAGTGATGTGTGTCTTTAGGTAAATTACCATTTTCGCGATTCACCTTAAGGATTGTTTAGCATTGTTTGTCTTGCAGCAGTGAGTCAAGACAGCAAAGAACTATCAAATGTGCCTCAAGCACACTGGGCGTTACTGATCTTGAATAATCGCTGCTTGCCTGTGTACCTTTCTTTGCGTTATATGAAAATAACACTTCGTTCCAATGGCGTGACATAATGATATTTTTGGCCGCGAATTCAGTTTCAGCGTCTATTTCTAACGCACAGAATGGCAAATTACTGATCTTGAGCATTCAGCTCACTTTTTATCTCGAACACAAAATGGTGGTTCATGACCTGGACTTAGGTCGTGGACATTGTCTTCATATGATCGGATCGTATATAAGAGGCCAGATGCTGACAATATCTGAGCATCAGCATCCTGTGAAAATCAGTTCAAATTGGGTCCAGGTCTCCAAGACGTGGTGAAACTGACCTGATCCGCGGTCCATGATACATTCTTTTTCAAAGAGTCAGGCATACAAAATTCGTAGAACCGGATGTTCTTTTGTTACCAAAAGTTTTGACGAAACCGTTTTACGTCAAAAAGTTTTAAGTGGTCAAATTTTTTTCTGAGTTTGACTGACTGTCTGAGAAATAAATATTCCCCCCCTGCGTCTTTTTAGTTTTGGCCATCGGCGAAGAACAGGGGCGGGACGACCAAATATCAATCCCCCACCCGGCGGTCCGCGGGAGATAATTTACCCCACGATTCTCGTCATCTGCACGGAGTCTTTGCTATAATTGTGTGCACACAGCACTCACTCATTTTGAGACAAATTGCATGGTGAAGCAAGCAGCAGCTAGCGGCACCGGGCGAGTGGTTTACAATTTTCGGTCGGCCCCGCGCAGATCCAGACCGATGCGACTGACCGTCCCAGAGCGCTGTAGTGGGCCTTCCTCCTGTCGCAGAACTGCTGGCAGCCGAGCTCGGACTTGTTGCGGCCCGCTTCCGCCGGGTGTTGGACGAAAAAGTCGGAACGCACTTCGTAGCAGAGAGCAGACGTGGCCACTGGAACGATATCATACATACACACACATATGCATGGTGGATAGGAGACCGAGCGTTTTTCCCCATATATCCTGTCGCTTCCAATGTTCCTGCTCCTCTTTTTCATGTTTTCGTAGATAGTTGATTTCCGCCTTCTGCTGTCCTATTTCCAACATGTCACGGTAGAAATCTGGGTAACTATTTGTCCTCAGAACCGCAGTGCTGCTTGCGAGTCTCCAACGAGCCAGACGTGTAATTAAGCATGCCACGAAATTTCATCCCCCCGCTATACATACACATTATCGTGCTGTATTTACCTGGCTGAAAACTTCCCTTCGAACGGCGCCACCGGCGGGGCAGCTATCCCTGACCTGGCTGCAGTGACCTGAGACCGACCGCGCTGACCTCTCATCGGTGCATTTCTCCCCGATCTGACTGCAGTGACCTGCGGCTGGGCTGAACTTCTCACCGGCGCAGCTCTCCCTGACCTGGCTGCAGTGACCTGCCGCCGGTCGGGCTGACCCCTCACCGGTGCACTTTTGTTTGTCATCATCGAGCCGCCAGCCGGGCAGGCAGGAGCAGGTGGCCGTGTTGCCGGTGCCTGAGCAGATCTGGCTGCAGCGCAGCTCGGTCGTGCCGCATTGCTTGCTCCATACACCTGTGGACCGAGCGGGGCCAATGACGACTATTGTCGCTTACAAGACGCAGGTACCGGCATCACCAGGTCAAATGTGTGGACACGCAGGTTGGCATTTCTTATTATTGAGGCCAGCTCAACGGCCAGTATGCCCTAGCGATGACGCAGTCCAGGTTTTGAGGGTGTGGTCACTGCCCCCCCCCCCCCCCCAATCTGGCATTTAATTCAGGAGCAGCAGCATTTACCGCGGTTCAGTATCTCCGGCCTTCTTAAAGTGTTTCGGTCTCCGGTAACTACAGCACACTTGGTGTGCTATTGCTAAGCGCACTTGGTAATAGCATACTTGGACGACTGCGGATAGAATGGAAATTAAGTGTAAAAACTCCGGCAGGTTTTGGACCCTAGGGCTTTCAACACCACACATTATGGCGACTCCGAGGCCAGATTCCATTGCTGGCTCTTCAAGAAAGCGGTGTCATTCGATAATTTGCCATAAGTGATCCCAGGTAAGACAAGGACGGGGGTGTTCGGTGAATCACACAACTGCTGGTTCTGGTATACGATTTCTTAACAATTCACCAATTGTGTTTCATGTGTATGCCCTTGGTATGTAAAAAAACTGTCCATAATCGTGCCAAGGACTCCGACGCTCCAACGCTCGTAGGGTAATCACCGGCCTAGAGATCATTTTTTTTTTAAATTTCATATGCAGAGTAACAACCAATTCCGTTCCTCTTCCCACCCCGCATCCGCCTTTGTAACTTTGATTTCATTTCAGCACGAACAGCATCCATGCAGATCTTGTGATTATTTACGCTGCAAAGCATCCCACAAGGGGATTCGCTTGATGAATTTCAATGAAGCATGGAAAAATGACCAAACGTGCATTCCAAAAACCTGTCCTATATTCGCATCTGGACAAGATTCATTGTTGAAAGTTTAACACAAGGTGTAGAAATGAAAGATAAAAAGATAAAAAATCCAAGGTGACTCTTTTAAAATTATAGGCATGCCTGGCAAACAGCTAGACGGGGAGGGGTGATTAAGCCACCCATACAGAGAACAGGTTCAAGGAGTGTCTCATCTTTCGGGGTACATTTAAAAACTCTTGTGAAATCTCCTAAGCATCCCGCACTCGAAAAACCGTCTAAACACGCTAAACTAGCTGGTTCATTTTTCCGCCTGGGTCACATTGTGTCTTACCTGCATGCCATTATAACCTGTGACGACACAAAAATGAATGAGTCGTCCTCCAAATGATTCCACCGCAGCCGGTTTGCAGCGAAGGGCCGCACCAAGTCATCACGTTGGCCGAAGGATCGTGCGCCCCATCACCACCATCAGTCAGGAGATTTAAACACTTGAGCATAGGTGTTGGACTCGTTGATCAGTGGGAACGAGACGTCTCCTTGCCTGACGGTTGTCTCCAGCACTGCTTACAGGAACAAACAGCAGGACCATTACCAGCAATTCTTGCTTATTCGCATGTCGTCCTTTTGATCAACATCGTATAACAAAAATCCTTTTACAAATTTATAAGTCTACATGCTATTCGGAGCTTCTTAAATGTTTAGCTTAAGCCTTTTGTGATCAATTTCCAGTATCAACACCCGCGCTAAGCAGTGTTTGTTGCGTGAACCCTCACCCCACTACCCAGCTGTGAAATGTTATACCAACGACAGAATTTGGGGCCGGAAGCTTCACGTGCCGCAGTGCTCGGCACGGCCTGTCCTGGCCTCTGACCTGACCTGGCCCGTCACCTGACCTCAAGCGCGGCCGCTACCACCGCACCGCTCGCACGCCTTTTGAGTCAGGGGAAAACGGCGAGCGCCCAAAGCGAGTCGAACACACCCAACCACGGTTGGGTAGAGAAAGAAAGCAGGATGCTCCAATCAACTGGCTTATCGGAACGGTAAATGTATCCAATTCTCTCCTAATCGAATGGCTGCCGGCTAGGTCATCTTGGACATCGACAGGACAGCAAGATTATGTTCGATCTGACCTGGACTGATGCCATAGCACTCCAAGGAGACCGTACTTCTTATCGGTCAGGCGGTAAATCGAGCCGAGATCATTATGAGCCTCCTAATGACACCACTACGGCAATACCAATCATCTGTGTTGTTCGTGTCCTAGCAATAACCAGTAAGTGGAATAAGTATGGATGTTTGAGGTTGAAGGTTATTTTCTTGCAATGGTCGTGCGCAACGAATGCGTATTACGCGTCGAGCATGCTGCAACAACAAGAGCACACTCCGTTCAAGAAATAAAACTTGAATCGCAAGGCTTGGGTTTGATCCAAATCTATGGTCTGGAGCGAGCATTAATCAGCGATTTGTTCCGTAGTTCCGAAAGGCTTGCTCTAGGCTCAGGCAACCGGAGTTTTTGTAGTATGAAATTAACCGACAGAGATACAGGTGAAGTCGTAAACGTTGAAATGATGAAATGCCGGCAGGACGAATTTCGTTAATATCATCACATACTGCCGCGCAAAAAAATACCGAAAGATGTGCTGTCAGTTGGCTCGACCATGGGAAATATTGTACACGTTTTGTCTACATGCAGACACGCAGATAGGTTATATTTTCAGAGGTAGATGTGCTCAGAAACACCAACTCAGCCTTCCCAAATTTAGATCCACACATGTAAAAATATGTCTTGCAACTTGTAGGTAACTATATTTTGCTTATTTAATCAAGATACGATGGAGAGCACACATACCGAATATCAGCGTAATCAATCGACTTTCCGTGCAATCTTTAGCTGAGGAACGTAGGAGCATGTAGAAAGCTTGTTTGACAGTCTCGCACTTCAGGCGCATGAGCAATAGGTACACCATCGGCCTGAACCAAAGCATCGACCGTCTGCTTTCGCTTGTGGATGCCGCTGCTAATGGTGTCCAGTGAAACCAGCTGAGCCCCATCGTGTTCGACAGGCCCTATCAAGTGAAAATCATCCCACTCCGTTGAACGTGTCCTCACCCAACTCCTCCAATTTTTACCAACACATCTAACCAGTTCTGGATCATTCCTAGGAAAGCTGAAAACAAAATTTCCCTCAAAGCACCCCACAGGCACGTTTATCTTTCCCGACTGACACGTCATTCTTATAAATGAGGTCGTTGCGGTGTTTGATATCCTTGTGCACTGTATCAACAACATTTAGATGCTTGCCCTTGCCACACTTGATGCAAAAAATCATACGATTTTGTCTGCACTGTAGCTTTTTCAAAAGACGACGTTTACGACAGGCAATCTCGCGTGTAGCCACGGGAAACAAAATGGGATCACCGATCGCCATACTTTTCCAGCATCCTCTAGAACTTGTGATCGACGCAATTCTTAGACCTGACTTTTTCGTTCGATAGATAGATCGTCTTTTTCGAGTGTGCACCTAAAACCAGGGGGATGGGCGATAGAACGTGCCGACCTGGTGGATAAGGTCGGAGGCAAAAATGTATATTTTTGCGCGATGCTTGAAGCTAAAAATGTTTTTGACCGAAGACTGTCTTGACGGCTGCGACAACATATTACAGCGCGTACTGCACAACCCGAGATGAGATTTTAATGTTGATACAGTTAATCCCAACACCACCAAGCCTTTCCGTAAACATCCCGTACCGCACACTGCGACATCATGATATCTTTTTAAGCTTCATCCCAGCCCGGCCACAAAATATCCCATGATATTTAGTTAGCCACTCGATTTGTTGGTAGATCAGCGACAAACCAGCGTATTTCCTGTGGTGCGGCAGATTGGCCGATTTGCTATTTTTTTTTACCAACCAACTCTCAGTGTCCCAAACTAGACAGCATAAAATGCTGAAATAGGTCTAGATATGGCGATTCATCTAGCCTTTAATCGTTGCGATGCAAACTAGATATGTGGGGTGGGTGGTGATGTTCATTACACTGTGGCTTTGCAAGCGGCATTTGCCCTGTAGTTTCATGAAAACCAGTCTAGGTTTATTTTTGGGCCTGGTTGACTTTATTGAGTGGCAGTTTAGGGAAGTCAGCGAGATGATCTGATCATGGTAAACATTGATCTTTCATTATCCAGACTGCTCTTCAAGGCACAGAAAAAGCTGGTGACCTATCGTCGCAGTCGCAAGCAATGAGCCTTCTTCTCTTTGAAAAGAACCATGGGTTCGGTTTTGGGCTGATGGCACTCCTCAGGGAAGTGAATGACAGGAGATGAATAGGGTTCTGAAGTGCCATTTTATGTCATTACAGCTTTAGTCCTGATTCAGCATGGTCACCAGCCAAAAACAGCGCTCGATTGGTGTCTAGCTCATATCCAGTTCAGGCCCCCAGCCCCTCCTCCCCAATTTTATGACCAGATATGCCAAAGCTGGCGAGTCAACCATATTCTTAGGGAAGAATACCTAATTTGTCACTGCTCGGCTTCCCCTCGTCTTTGAAAAGAACGCCTCTGCTTGAACTGCAATCATTTCACTAATTTTGTCTTGAATTGAAATGACATCTATTCCCATTTCAACAACTTGCAAGTATTCATCTTGACTGCTGGGAGCTGGTACGATCAGTAGTGGATGTAGAATTTTGTCATGGGGGCCACGCCACATTTTGCCCCTGCCCCCTTCATGGTTTGGTGTACCGTCCAAGAAAAATTAGGATTCTGGCCATTCAATTTCCAGATTTTTATACATTTCTTTTGTGCGGGAATCCATCTAACTGTGCGCAGCCTTAGAAAACTAGACGCGCTACGTATGCACACACAAAGACCTTGTTCATGTTCTCCGGACCGTGACAGATTCTGACATCTTGACACTCAGTATTTCGGAAAAATATTGCAAAATGAAGTGAAATTGGCTGCTGAATACCAACAAAGTCAAGCATAAATTTGATTCCCCGCTTATTTACAGCTAGCCGGCTAGTATATGTGAACAGCTGTTGGCGAATGACTGGTGCATAGTTCTGCTTTGACTCTTATGAAGAGGTGCAAAATATCTTTAGATTCAAACTGCACAAAGAACGCAATTCACTGGTATAATAAGTGTCACA